TAACAACCAGTAATAACTGTTTATGATATCAGTAAAATAGAAAGAGATATAACAAAGCTGTGAGAGTAGCACATTTATATTGGTATTTTGGTAGGCTTGGGGCGATCATTAATTGGCTGTCGATGTTCTTGAAAATAATCGTGTCTTTGAGTAAGGTTGTAAATTAGAAAACAGCAGTGGTTTTGAAAGGCAAAATTCGTGAGGAGAAGCTTATTATTATTGAAATGTCGAAATAAATAATACACGATTTTGAAAAAGTTTTTGTAGAAGTTGCAACAATAAAGCGATAATTTGCTGCAATTTTGATCTAATAATGCGACACATTGTGAACATGGACGCCATTGTCCATGCTGTTTATTATAGTAATAACGACACGTTCTTGAAATACCACTCTGTTGTTAACTGTTTCGGATTGTGCCGGTAATGAGTAACGAATACCAAATTAATCAGAGTTGGATTACTAAAGGCAAATTAACGTCAATATTCAGAACCGGCATACCTCTATTTCCAGCGTACGTCTCAATAGCTCCTCTTACTATCGCTGGAAACCTCATCGATCACAGTTCTCATTATTACCATACAAATAAAATTTATTTACTCAGTGAAGAAGCCTTTTATATTTGAAATTTCCGCTACCCACATTACCCACTCAGGCCCGCAATTTAATTGCGCACCACCAAAAGGAATTCCAACTGCTTTACAGATACACAGATAGCACATATGAAAGTCTACACACTGGGTAGGTATTTACTTATGATATCAGCAAACGATGCTCGAATAAAGCTCGCCCTCATTTATACCCTCAAAATTAAATCACTGACTGTTTTGTTTACTCTTTATTAACAAATTTTGTGACATCCAACATCCACAAGCGCTTCTTTATTGTGAAAATGTATCACAACTTTTTTGAGCTTTTTCAAATCTCCTAATTATCGTAATGTGACTGAGTATGTGATAGACACTGATTGCTAATTGCTGTTCAAAGTTTCCAACTTGGCATATGAGCAAGTCTACATACTCTTCTTCCAGTTTCACCCTAATTTGATTTATGAAAATAATTGTCGGAGTTAGTCATTCTCGGTAAATTGCAAGTTTGTTGGAATTGGCGTCAAATGTAACTGTTACGTTTGTATAGATTGGAGAAATCCAAATATGAATGTGTATAATAGAGGTTATTAGTAACAATAACAGTCAAATGGGAGTGTATCAGAACATACCTAACAGGCCAGGTCGATAATAGAACATTCCCGATCATTGTGATATATTGACTAATTGTAATTCATATTGTAATTATCTATATATGAACAAGGGAAATCAACCATCCGCTTTAATTCTATTGCAAAATGTGATCGGACAGACAATGTAACCAAGATTAACTATCAAACAGTCGAATACCTTATCGGACCAAGAAACCCTTTCAGACTGGGATTACAACTTCCTAACCTTGCCAGTTTTATTACAATTTTATAAAACTTTTATCAGATTATTTCTAATGATAAGTAGAGTCAACAGACACGAAAAACTCACAATTGCAACAAAAATCATAGCGAAATAAAACCGCAAAATGAAACTTGAACAAAAAAAAACAAAATTCAAAGAAAACATAAATACAAATTTAAGCAATAAGAAGTTAAAAAATATATTAGGTATTCTTTTTTTCATACAGTTTCTTTATGTAAAAAATATACAAGTAAGATACAGGAACATGGGAAAAATGTTAAAAATATTCCAATTCCAAGTTTTTTTGTTACATTAGAAGAGGAAACAAGGAAGCTGTAACCTAAATTGTAACTCTGTTTAATGTTATTCGTGGCTTTTATTGGCAAAATGTTTCTACCTTTACTAAATAATTATAAAAAAACATATACAAAATCATCAATATCATTAAAATGTCAAATGTCAAAACATAATGTCAAAAATTTTTAACAGAATATTTTTTTTATGTTCCTGGTATCTCATCTTACTTGAAATTTTTCTCTGGGGCGCGAGTTCTGACACACCCGTGTATAATAGGTACATAAATTTTATGCATATTATTAAACAGATTTTTATATTTGAAACAATATATATATATTATATTTTTTTAAACAGTTTTCAGTCTGTAGCTTGTCATTCAGGAAAAAACGCTAAAAAATCGAATATAAAATGGAAAATCTAAAATACGAAATTTTTATTTTCAACGATTTTTCCGGCTTATTACACCCACGTTTGTTTACAATTGCTTAATAATGGACAAAATTTTTTCATAGTTTTACACGCCCCAATCCACTCCAATTTTATTAAACTTTTATCAGATTATTTCTAATGATGAGAGAGTCAACAGACACGAAAAACTCACAATTGCAACAAAAATCATAAAACTGCAAAATAAAACTTGAACAAAAAAAAAACAAAATACAAAGAAAACATATAATACAAACTTAAGCAATAAGAAGTTAAAAAATATATTAGGTATGCTTTTTTTAAACAATTTCTTTTTCTAAAAAATATACAGGTGCGCCAGAACTTGCGCCCCAGAGAAAAATGCCATTTAAAGTAAGATTCCAGGAACATGGAAAAAATGTTAAAAAATTCCAATTAGTTTTTTTGTTACCGACTATTAGAAGAGGAAACAAGGAAGCTGTAACCTAAATTGTAACTGTGTTTAATATTATTTGTAGCTTTTATTGGCAAAATTTTTCTACCTTCACTAAATAATTATAAAAAAAACATATAGAAAATCATCAATATCATTAAATAAACATAAAAAAATGTCAAATGTGAAAATTTTTTGACAGAGAATTAAAAAAAAATATTATGTTCTTGGTATCTTATCTTACTTGAAATTTTTCTCTGGGACGCGAGTTCTGGCACACCTGTATATTAGGTACATAAATTTTATGCATATTATTAAACAGATTTTTATATACATTCTTTTAAACAGTTTTCAGTTTGTTTATAGCTTATCTTTCAGGAAAAACCACTAAAAAATCGAATATGAAATGAAAAATATAAAACGCGAAATTTTTATTTTCAACGATTTTTCCCGCTTATTACACCCACGTTTGTTTACAATAGCTTAATAATGGACAGAATTTTTTCACAGTTTTACCCAATCCACTCCAATTTTATTATATTTTTCTTGCTTTTCGGTCGCTCCTGATTAAAGTATCCCCTTTTTTAAAATACTACAAAAAATTGACAATAAGAATACAAAATAGATTTAATGTAAATTCAAAGAAGATCTATAAGTAATTACTAAATTATGAAAAAAACACGGTCCAAAATGACAGCTTGCTTTTGTATTTTTTTTAGTTTATTAATATACATAAAATGAACAAAAATGCTTTTGTTTGTTTTAATTTCAGTATAAATAACTGGTCATTTCGTCAAATTTTTCTTTTATTTACATTTTCGTATCTCTGCAAATTATCTGTCAACTTAATTTGATACTTGGCATTTGGAGCAACAGGAAAATTGTTGTTTGATTAGTTGTAGTTACGAAAAAATCAATATTGTAATTTCATATGACATTTATTCACAAAAAATTTATCTGTCTTTCAAAATTTGTATAATTTTGTCGTTGGTTTTATTGTTTTTTTTGTGAGTCAATTGTGTTAAATAAACAGTGTTGGAGAGATTCCCAACAATACAATTTTACTATTGTTATTGTTCTGTTATTTCAAACTGTCAAGTTCGAGGTCTTAATAAAATGAAAGGAAAAGTTTGAAAGTGGAAAATAAAGAAGTTATTTCTTCGTGGTGTAAACAGGTGTCTTATTTTAAAAATCTCAACCTTTGTGTCTATATTTAACTTGTATAAAGTCTTGAATAAGAGCAAGATTTTAAAAATTGTATTCACTACAAAAGTTTAATTAAAAAAATTACATCCGTTAAAAACGAAGCGTAATTTTGAAACTTTTATAACAACGTTAAAGCTTCTTTGATAAGCTAACTTATTTCATGTTTAATTAAAGTTGTTTTAAGGTAAATTATTCAAGAATATGATTATGTCTGAATCGATTGGATTCTGAACTGCATTTTGTCGCTGCATCCGTCGCTTCAATTCTTTCAGCTTCAGGAAATTAATTTCCTATACATTACTTACATTTAAGATTTAAAGACATATTTTAATACTCGACACATTTATAGAAACTTGAAAAGCTCTTATCAGATTGTGGTTTAATTTCTGGTGTTGGAGTTTACTTAAATATTTCTTTGGACGGAAACTCACGCTAGCTTTGTTAATATGCCCTTAACACTAAATACGAAACTATTTCGAAAGCTCAAAATACATATTCAGTGTACGGTATTATGAAATCAAACACGAAGGTAACAGGTTGGATCGATAACACCCTGGATAAAGAATTATAAAAAGCTCACTTTTGGACTCAAAATTTATAAAAGAAGCTCGGTTCAAGGTGGAATTTATCAAGTACATTATTTTATAATTTGACACCTCAATTTATATAGGCTTTGGAGAATGTTAATGCGATCGTAAATTTTAGATAATAAAAATATACAATATAAAGGTCGCAAAGCCCCCATTTATCACTTAAAGTTTATAATATTTAAATAAATTTCTTTCACAAAAAAATTACTTTCGAATTGATAATGAAAGAATAATAAAAAATAAAAAACGATCAAAATACTTAAAATTGGAGGAAAAAGTTGAAGTTGAAAATATAATAAAATATTTCTTTATTATAAAGCACAACTCAGCAAGTAACTAGTACTAGTGAGTAAAAAAAACTGGCAAAATTGCACATACATTAACGACTTCTAACCATAGGCAACCAAAAATACACCAAACCTTTTTATGCTGACTAAATATATTTTTTAATAAAACAATTTTTGCTACATTAAGAAATCAACAAATATTTGTTGATTAAATTTAAGTAGACCAAATTGATTTAACAATAAATTTAATTAAAACGCTGAACGACACTTGACATTTCTAACTGTTTTTAACCTCAAAAAATCATTCCGTAAAGTTTAAAATTCTATACTTCATTTTTCCAGCTTAAAATATGGAAAACATTTCTTTGAAAACAATTCAATGCAAACTCTCTGTTTCGTGTACAATATACGAAAATTATGCCTGGTTGTTAAATTGTTACGTACTCGTAAGTCTATGAATGTGCATAAAAAATTCGATTAAAATACTGTTTTGGCTTTTAGGACTTTTTTACTGACAACCATTGGAATAAGTTACCTAAGTGTTGGCAAAAATCACTTAAAAACTTGGATTCTCATGAAATATCTAAACTTCTAAATTACAATAAGAAATTGAGGTTAGGCTTTTGTCAATTTGACAATACATCACAACATTTTTTTTTAGGAGTAATGTTTGGCCTTTATCTATTCTAGCACTACATAATTTATTGTCGTCTCTTTCTTTACCAAGAAAAATAGTTGATTTGAACATACAAAGTCCCTTTTTTACTAAAGACGACAAGTTACTCAAGCTTTTTTGGAAAAATGTTAAAGCAAAAAAACGGCATGAAATATCAGTAATGTCAAAGGTGCATTTTTCTTTTGTTAGTGAAAATATGTGAATAATTGTTTCAGATATGTTATGATTCCGCTTTAAAAACGGATTGTTTTCATATTGTTGATATTGGCTCTGGACTTGGACATTTAAGCAGAATATTAAACTACGGTTACGGATTTAAAGTTTGCACAATTGAAGCACAAGAATTACTAAGCCAACAGGCTCAGTATGTCATTTAAATTATGCAAAAATAAAGTCTAATTTTTTAATACACTAGGAATTTAGATAATGAATTTGAGACAGTCCTAGAGCGAAAATTCCCAGGGTATCTAAAATACAATAAAAACGTCCATATTAATAAAAGGATTCAATCAAATATCACGGCAAATGAATTTTTAACGGTACGTTTTTTCACTTACTTTTTAATTTTAATTAAAGATTTTCAGCTCATTAAAAGTGCAATAAATTCAGAAGATGATGACTTTAAATTTGGAATTGTAGGGCTTCACCCTTGTGGCGATTTAGGGGCAACACTACTCAAATTATACACTCAATGCCCCGAAGCTAGATTTATAAACATCGTCGGTTGTTGCTACATGAAACTATCAACACTGTAAATTTAAAGTTTTCAAAAGACTAGATACTTAAACTTTTTGCAGGCCCGGACTAACTCAAGGATTTCCGTTAAGTCAATTTTGTAAACTACGTAATTACAATTTAAGTTACCATTCGCGAGAAATAGCTTGCCATGCAATTGAGAATTACATCGAAAAATTGAATAGAAATGAATGTTGGAGGTTGAAAATTCACACTTACAGGGCTGCTTTAGAAAAAATAATTGCACAAAAATGTCCGAAATATCGCCACTCGGCTTTAAATAACGTCAAATATAGTGAAGATCTCACTTTTGAAAAGTATTAGACGCTAAATGGGTTACTGTGTTTTATGTTTTTATTTTAGTTACTGCCACAAAGCTACCAAAAAATTGAATATCGATTTTTCCGATGTCACATTACAGAGCAGCGAAATTGAAGATTTATTGGCGCAATGGAGAGAAGTTGTTGTGTTTTATTCATTGCGATTGTTATTCGCTCCATTAATTGAATCAATAATACATCTTGACCGCCTTTTGTTTGTTGAAGAGACCGGCAAGTTGGTTACTAATGTCACATTTGTGAATAACTTATGATTCTAGGAAGTGCCGCTCAAATTTTGCCAGTGTTTGATGCACAAGTTTCACCTCGAACTCATGTACTCACTGCCAGAAAAAAATGAAATATATACAGGGTGACCCAGGGGTTCGTGCACGCTCTATAACTTTTTTTCTATCCAAGTTATCGACATGATTTTTTTTTTAAACGATAGATCCAACAATGAGGCTCATTATAAAAATATTTCTATTCCTATACAGGATGTCCCAAATAAGATACAAAACTAAGTTCCGTTTTTTTAAATGAAAACCACAATTTTTTATTAGATATCTGGATTCGCCACTAAATTGTCAATATAACGCACCTTGGTTTCTTAGACTTACCTGCAATAGTTTTTGACTTATGCCAATTTATGTGTCAAAATTGCATCGTGCATAGGACTCACAAAAAAATTCATAACTTCAAAACTATTCAAGACAACGTAACCAATTTTTTTCCAGTCGATTCCTTAACCTTTAGCACATCTTTTGAGAAAAAGGCAAACTCGGAGTCGATGTTCCATCGCCTACTACGATTTTTTTTAAAACGACAATAACTCGATTTTTTTAAATACAACACTCTATATTTTATTGTATCATTACATGGCATTTTTTATGAGCTTTTTGTCGATGTAGGGTTTATGGGGTTTACTTTGTAAAATTTGTACGATTTTTGCAAAATAAGAAATGTTGATGGTTTTTTTCTAAAAAAAAAGGAATCGAGTAGGCTGCTGTCGTAAAATTTGACACTTTCGTGTACTTTTAATAATTGTACACATCTAATTGTCAATAATGAATTTCACTCGTGAAGAATTAGTGAATATGGTTTACTGTATTGGTGAAGAGCACAGAAATCCTTTATTAGCAAGCAAGATCTACCGTCAGAAATATCCTATCCTAATCGTTCGATAGGCAGAGGAGGTACTATTCCCAGGCACGCACGATCTCCATACCTTACTCCCATCGATTTTTTTCTTAAGAAAGAATTTTCAGAGATCGTCCAACAACTACAGATGATATGAAACACATGATCGCGAAAGAGTTCCATTCAGTCGATGGAGCAATGCTTGCTAGAGTTCAGAGCTCATTTACTAAAAGACTTGGTGGAACATGACCTATTTGAGCAGTTTTTATAAGTAACCTTTTCTCAAAATTTTTACATTGTTTTCTTTTAATCATTCTTTCCTATTTTTGTAAAGATTACTAAGATTGTTTCCTTTATTGTGATGTACTCCTGTTTCTATTACAATTTCATTTTATTGAAACACATTTTTTTCAGAATTGCATAGATGTGTCAAACGATAACGGCCTACTCGATTTTTTTTTCAGAATAAAACCATCAACATTACTTATTTTGCAAAAATCTCATAAATTTTACAAAGTAGACCCTATGAATCCTATATCGATAAAGAGCTAATAAAAAATCCCATGCAATGATGCAATAAAATATAGAGTGTTGTATTTGAAAAAGTCGAGTTATTGCCATTTGTATTTTGTCATTTTCATAAAATCGTAGTACGCGATGGAACATCGACTCCGAGTTTGTCTTTATCTCAGAAGACGCGCTAAAGCTTAAGAAATCAACAGGAAATAAGTTGGTTAAATTATCTTGAATAGTTTTGACGTTATGAATTTTTTTGTGGGTCGATGCACGATGTAATTTTGACACATAAATTGGCATAAGTCAAAAACTATTGCAGGTAAGTCTAAGAAACCAAGATGCGTTATATTGACAATTTAGTGGCGAATCCAGGAATGTAATAAAAAATTAGGGATTTCGTTTAAAAAAAAACAGAACTTAGTTGTGTATCTTATTTGGGACATCCTGTATATGAATAGAAATATTTTTATAATGTGCCTCATTGTTGTAGCTATCCTTAAAAAAAAATCATGTCGATAACTTCGATAGAAAAAAAGTTGTTGAGCATGCACGCACCCCTGGGTCACCCTATATGTGATAAATCGCCTTGTGTTGTAAATAAAAAAAATAAAACAAATTTTTTTGTTCCTAAAAAAATAACATTTTATTTATTAATGAAAAAAATACAAACAAAACTGTAATAAATCCTTCAAACTTTTGCCAACATAATTGCAGTCCTAGAAGGTATATAGACCTGAAATAAACAAATTGAGTAAACAAGTTTTTTTAATTTTTTCCCCCACCTGAATCGAATTTTTCCTCCCGCAGAAACTTTCCGGCTTCGTGAAGTTATGAATGGAAGTATCAATCCTATTGTGCCCTCCAAATTCCTTATCATCTGAACACAGTGCGATGTGAAATTCACCTTCGCCTTCAAATCCAAGTTTATAATCCGCAAAACTTTTAGTTGGATGAAAATTGAAAACAAATAACAAGCCGGCTCTTTCAAACGCTATCACTTTATCATCTTCATGTTTCCAACTAACATAAGCCGGAGGTGCACTCAACCAGCCATATTTTTCCTCTGCATGATTCATCGCAGCATCCCAATTGTTCAAAAATTTGTATTTGAGTAGCTCATCGTCGACTAAATGCCACTGCCGACGCGCATAATGATAAGAATTGTTATTTCCGGCTCGGGGGAAGTCGAGCCATTCGGGGTGGCCGAATTCATTTCCCATGAAATTAAGGTAGGCTTCGCCCCCCAAAGCATGGGTTATGAAACGGATTAATTTGTGCAATGCGATCCCGCGCTCAACCACTTGAGAGGGAGCAGAAAGAGTACTCATGTGAGTATACATTTCCTTGTCCATTAACCAAAAAGCGATGGTTTTGTCACCTACTAAAGCTTGGTCATGGGATTCAGCATAAGCTACATTAGGTTCCATCCATCTTCGGTTGGTAAGAGTGTGTACTATATTACCGACATTCCAATCATCATCGGAATAGTGCTTTAGTAATTTTATCCACTTATCAGGGACAGCCATGGCTAGGCGGTAATCAAAACCTAGACAACCTTCACTAATCGGACGACAAGTCCCAGGCATTCCAGACACATCCTCGGCTATTGTTATACCATTAGGATTTAAATGGTGTGCAACGTAATTAGCAAGCATTAGATAAACTAAACCTTCAGTATCAACATTCAAGCCAAAATATTCCTCGTAATTCCCACTAAAACCTTGGCCAATACCCCGCGAATGGTACAACATTGAAGTAACTCCATCAAATCTAAACCCATCAAATTTATACTCCTCCATATACCAACGTATGTTAGATAACAAAAATCGCAACACTTCAAATTCTTGGTAATTAAACAGTCTTGAATCCCACAATGAGTGCTCTCCGCGCGCCCCCGCATGGAAAAAACCCGAATCAGTACCGTCGAACTGATTTAACCCGTCTAGTACATTTTTACTAGCGTGTGAATGAACCAAATCAAGTAAAACGGTTAAACCGAGTTCATGTGCCCGGTCTACTAACCGTTTTAATTGTTCTGGTGTTCCGTAACGACTCGAAGCGGCATAAAAATTTGTTATTTGGTAACCGAAACTGGCATAATATGCGTGTTCCATTATTGCCATTAATTGGATCGTGTTATAGCCTTGTTTTACGATTCTTGGTAAAACATTATCAGTGAAATTATCGTAGGAACCAACTGTCAATTCGGATGTAGCTATACCGACATGGCATTCGTATATGCGCAAACCTTTCGGTTTAACCGGTCTTGAGTGACGAAATTCGTACTTCTACAATTTTTTTATTATGATAAATGATAAAATTACTCATTGTTTACCTCTGAGTCTGGCGGATTCCAAAACTTTTGTTTATATATTGTACCTTGTTCTTTTAGGGGTTCAACTACATAAGTAGCATATGGTGACAAACGATCTTCTTTTGTTCCAGACTGTGTTTCCACAACCACCTTCACTTCTGATAAATGTGGTATGGCACATGATCCATCTGGTTTAGGCGGTATAATTAATTCCCATTTACCAAATTCCAATTTTTTGTATGGGTGGCTGTCTCTGTTCCAGCCATCTAATAAAACAATGAATAACAAACAAACAAACAAACAAGTGTTTAAAAACGTACTAAAATCTCCCGTGAGAAACAACTGAACAGCGCCTGGAGCCCACTCTCTGCATACAATTTTGTTGTCTGATTGGACATGAATCCCGTAGTACTTATATCCTTGGGTGAAATTATCCAAACCGCCCCCATTTTCATCAATTGTTTCAATCCAGTCTTTAAAACAGCCATATCTGCGAATAAAGAGTTCAAGTGTTTTTTGCGCTTGCACTTGTTTTGACTGACCTTCACAATGTCAAATAACTTACCGGCGACGAATTTCTTTCTCAAACGGCTTGAGATAAGGGTCTCTGGAGAGTAGTTTATCAATTTCAGGTACTTCGATTTCCATAGGGTCCAAAGATGAGTATTTTCCACCCATTTTTCACAATTTATTACTTTATTCGCAATAGCTGCACCTGAACTACAAGAAATGTTATTTTCAATGCATGTGTTGATAACAGAAGTCAAAATGTCACTGATACCATAAGATTACTATATAAAGGGTCGATTAAAACTTATTTTCTTACTTACGTTGTATTAAAGGTTAAAATACTTTATTTCACATTTCTGACATTTAAACCCGCTTTCACGTGTAACACCACGCGTAAACTAGCGAAAAGACACGAAGTGGGGGCCTGGATTGATTGTTTATACACCCGAACCCCAAATAAATACAATAAATATATAAAATGATTGTCACAGTTTTCGTTGCTATAATAGTAGATTAAGTAGTAGAATCATAAATAAAAATCTCTTGTCCCTACATCGTAGTCCACAAAAAAACTTGGAAGCAAATAAAATTAAATAGTATAGTACCTAGGCGTAAATCGACGGGGGCCCCATTTGTCAGGAAGAGACGGATTTGGGGAGTATTACGACTTGAGGTTATCACAGTTAAGACGAAGATTAGTGTTCAACACTTTAGTGTCGAATTGCGGGATTGTCAAAATAGGGGCTTTTGACGAAACGTGATGTTAATTGAAAATAAACATTTAATAAACAAAATAAACGTTTATAAAATTTGAAAAAAAAAACGGTACAAAAATGTAACTTATAACGCGTATTCCTTTTTGATTAGCGAAAAGCCGTTCTGGTCCATCGCTACCCTGTAGAAGAAGGGCACGGCTTGTGCCCTCATAAGCGTATTTATAAACTCCTCATCGTGCGTGACAACCACCAATTGGAAATTGTTCTCTTCTTGTCTCGATTCCACAATCCTCGTTAAAGCTTCACACAAACTATTTGTATTTTCACGATCTAAATTCGTAGTGGGTTCATCTAAAGCCAAAATGCCACAATTTTCACTCAAAGTTTCAGCTAAAGCCATTCTTATAATCAAACAGGCTAGGGCTTTTTGTCCGGCACTGCAACGCCCTCTCATTTTCAACTCGACTCCTTGTTTTACTTGAACCACACTGTATTTGTTTATGTGCTTTTGGGTGGCACTTGCAGAACTGACATGTCTTGCTTTGATCTCAATATAATCAATATCATTCCCCCTGTATATATCACGCCACATTTTCTTTATTGTATCATTTACTTGCTTCATTTTCGTCGCATGAAAATCAAGAATGGACTCTTCCAAAACTGTTATATTTTTGATTAAATCATCAACTATGCTTTCCACCACTTTTAATTCATACAACTTCGTCCTATAGTCATTGTGAGCGTTCGCAGTGTCCGGTGTTGTGAGTTGGAGACGCAACTCTTCGATGTTTTCCAAAAGAGCGTTTTTCTCACCCTTTAGACTGTTTATAGATTTTTCGTAATTTTCCTTTTCTCTGATTAATTGAGACTTTTCCTCGTTAATGTAGACGCAATTGTAACCACCGATCAGTGTCTTCAAATCCTCAATCCTTGCGTTTAAATCCACCTCGATGGCTTGTTTCTCACGGAAAGTTACGTTACTTTGCAACCTCCGGAGACGCAACTCGGATTTACACAATCTGTCTTTTTTCGCTGAAATCATTTCCGAAATTTCGGGTTTAAATTCTGCAAGATACACATCCTTCTGTCTAAACTCTCTCAAATTGTCCTCAATTTGAACCAACTTTTCCTCAACTTCGTTACTGAGATAATTCTCGATTTCTCTATGAAGCTTCTCGACGTCTTGCACCAGAGTTGTGAAAGTGCTCAATTCGTTTCTTTTCTTCTCAATCAACTTTTTATTTTCCTGATCCTGCAAGTTTTTATTAGCCACGGTATTCCCCAAATGCCGTTCCAAACAGTACAATTCAGACTTTTTAACTTCTATTTCATTCCTCAAGCTTTGCAGTTTTGCATACATCTCGCGTTTTTGTGCTTCGAGATTTGGCCAATTCTTCATTCTGAGTTGTTTTTCGTACAATTGATTCCTTTCTTGGGTTAAATAAAGGATTCGGTCCTTATGACTATAAATATTTTTCGTTTCAGTGTCAATTTTTCGTCTCAATTCATTTAATTGCAATTTGATTGAATCAATTTCAGCTTTAGTTTCCTGTTTGGATTTATTCGAAGGGACTTGGGCCAATTCCCGTTCCAATTTCTCGATTGTGTTTCGTGATTTATCAACATCGGCTTGATTCTGATCCAATATGCTGACATCGGAAATGACAATTTTCGAAATTTCCAAAATTTTCAAGGGCTCACAAGTCATTCTATTCAATGTGTCCAATTCCGACTTTTTCGCCTCTAAATTACACTTGATCTCGTTGAGATTTGCCTCAAGTTGAGGCAACTTCTCTTTGGACAAAACACGAATTTCGTCATTGACAACTTTCAATTGTTGGAGTTTGTTGTATAAAGCTTCCTCTTCTTGTAAGTCAACCTCAACTTTGCTCAACAGTTGAGGGACTTCATGTAGTTTATTTTGCAATGTTGTTTTAATCTTATCAACATAGGTTTTGTCTGAGAAATTTGTTTCACAAACTGGACAACACGGTTTTTCCTCTTTAAACTGTTTTAAATATTGAGCATAAATAATTTTAATTGAATTGTAATTTCCCTTGTCAAACTGTAAACGTTCCCTCTTTTGGAAACAACGCTCCAAGACTTCATTAAAATCACAACCGTTGCAAACTTGTGAAATTTTCTCTTGATTAAGCGTCAATTCCTCTTGACACAAGTTGAATTTCTCAATTTGATTCTGAAATTGAACCTCGAGAGTTGTCACCTCCTTTTGTTTTTTATTCAATTGTTCGGTGAGTGTTTTAAGTGTTAAATCTGCAGTTTTTTGTTTTGTCAACACTGAGTCTTTTAGATTCGTTTCAGGGAGCGACCCAAACAAGACTTTAAGACTCTCCAAATGCTTGCTTTTAATCCGATTGATTTCACGTAGTTTTACCAAAATTAAGCGTCTCTCACATTCGATTTTTCCCTCAATTATGTCATTCTGTAGGAAAAACATATATTCCCGTTCTAAAATATTTAGATTGTGTTCCAGTGTTGTAATTTCACTCCGTTGTGACTCAATCTTTTGAATTTCTTCCTGTTCGCAAAACGTGTTGCCCGAATCGAAGATTGTCTCATCAATGGCTAAGAAACGATAATCTAAATCCTCAAGGAACCCCTCGGAGGACGACATTGTGTTCAACTCAAATGAATTACTCGCGATTTTTTGCTCACATTCTATCATTTCGCGGGTTTTTGAACTTATAGTTTGCTGAGTTTCAATGACTTGGCCTTGAAAATCATCAATGGACAATTGGAATACCTCCAAATCTAACTCTTTTTCCTCGATAAGTGCATCTAGTGAGGCCTGGCGGTCCCTTAGAGCGGATGTGAGCTGAATCAAGGCTTGTATCGCCCCCTTGTCGTCCTCAAAGTTTGAAATTGTCACGTCAAACTTATCCACAGCTTGGGCAAGTAACTGTCTCCGTTCCTGACTTTTTTCCAGATAGTAATTTTTTTGTTCATTTAAGCACCCCAAATCGATTTGTAGTTTTTGAATAGCTTCATTAATTTCCTTGCTTTCTGTCTCAATATGGTTTTGTGCTCTTAATAAATCCGCGACCACGATTTCGTCTTCTTGACGGTCATTTTCGAACGATCTGATTTTGGCTTGTAATTCGTTGTCATTTCCATAGAATTCGAAAGGTAAATTTTTTCTAATACTTCTTAGCTCTGCGACAAGACTAATTCTTGTTGCTTCTTTGGCCGCCAAGTCGCGTTCTGCTTCCTCTATAATCTTCTCCACTTTTCTGTTTTCCTCAAGGCCTTTTTTGACCAGTTCTAATTTAGCCGTTTTAGTGTCAATTTCGGTGTCAATTGACTTAAGTTTGTCTTCTTTATCTTGTAAATTCTGTTTGGCTTTTTCCACTTGTTCTTTTTTCTGTTTTCTACGCTCAACTTCCAATTTCAGTAGCTTGATCCTGCCTTGTTTGTCCTTCACTGCTTCCCGGTATATTTTGACGAATTTATTGCTGTGTTCGGTATTGAAAATTTGGTCGATTTTTTTTTTAACTCTCTTTCCTTTGGCCAAAGGCCACGCAGCGTTTTCCTGGTGACAAAAAATCACATTGTTGAGGATTGAAGACGAGACGTCCATAATTTGACAAAACTCGTTTGTGATGTCTGCAGATGAGCCCGAAATTTTGCTGTCGTCGCCATCTGCCATCACGATTTGAATAGTTCCCGGCAATGAGCTAAATTTTAGAGATTTATGCGGGGTTTGGTTCACTTCCATAGTGCGAAAAACCGTAACAGCGTTGTTTTTGGAGTCTACGAGTCGTAATTTTATCTGGCCTTTGGTGCAAGTCTTGGATGACATTTGTGGGTCGTTGAGAAAACCTTTACCACTGTTAGTCCCATCGGGAATGTTGGCGGTCATTGCATATTTGATAGCTTCAATAATGGTGGTTTTACCAGAACCATTCTGGCCTAGAATTAGGGTTAAAGGTGTCGTGAATTTTAACTTTTGACACTGGTCCTCGCTGTAGCTGCGGATGCCCGCAATTTGCAATTTTTGCAGAGTTGCCATCGCTGGAAAAATAACTTTGAGAAAAAATTAAGGAAAAAAATCGACTCACCTGATTTTGTAAGAAAATAAACTAAGGACTCTCGTGACTATTCCAACGCAAATCTTAACTATTTTAGACGTTTCTGGAAGTAAGAATTGATAAGAAACATGGAAAAAATTTAACCAAAAATTAAACTTACTTTTATGACAAAAAACTCGGTAATTTTCATTAAATTTAATCAACAATAAATCATAAAAATGTTATATAGCACACTATTAACGAAAAAGATGCTTACAATACTGTTTTTCTGTACAATTTTTGATATTTTATCCAAACAAACTTTACGGTGATATACGTTGTGGAAAATTTGAAAAACAATGACCACACCTGACTGGTACTGTTACCTGATTTACCGGCCGGTTGACTTCCCCACCTCTTGGTGATAGGGAATTTGCCAAGTGGGTTGGCTATGCGTTTGGTAGAACTCATTCACTAGATAAATTTAAAAATCTGCAACGCATTGTTGAAAAAGTCGAAAACACTTGATCATAATAAACAAAAATTTTATTTATTGCAATTAACCAATTACGTAATTAGCAGTAATTGTAAAATACACTAACAGATGCGCAAAAATTACGCTGATTGATTGACTATCTTTGTTCCACTTGTAGCCACACCTCGTATGATTCGATCTTTTGTAAAAATTGTGTGTTTTTGCACTTTAGATAGGTTGTGGAATTAAGTTGACGAGAATATAGATGTATGAGAATATACAATTTTGAGAATCCTTCTTGTATCACTATTTTTTTTTTAATTTTTACCAGATTTTACAGCAATATTTAATTGCAGTCACATAACATTTTATGTTTAAAAGGAAATAACTAAAGAATGGTGATAATTGATAGAAATTCTCGGTAGTCTATATTCTCGTCTGCGCATTAGACCCAGAAACCAGCAGCAGAAACAACTCTGGTGCTGTCAAATGGCACAACCTATCTCAAAATGTCAACACTTTAAAGTCGTCCCAATAATGTAAAATTTTGTATTTTCAATAAAATGGCAACGCAAAAGCCGGGAGAATGGGCTAACACTCTGATTGTGCGTTTTGAGGAGCAGGTTAGTAGATGTTATAAGCATTTTGTGAGTGAGGAACGTCGATAGAAATCCTCCCACCTTCTAATCAATATTTACATGATGGTCCAGGATGGAAATTAAATTTAAGAGGTTTTTGGGATTTTCAATGATGATAATGAGTTTTTTTTATTGTAGTTGCCTTGCCGCATTGGTCCTCAAACCAGTCATTCAAGGATAAATGAGGAACAGAATAAGGCTTGTATTATACAAATTTCCAAATATCGTTTTGCTTTAGTATTAGATGGTTTTGTTAAAGTTTTAAAAAGAATTCATGAATTGGTAAGTGGAGAATTGTTTATTGTGTATATTTGTATTTGTTGGCTATTGAAATTCTTGTTCGCTAACTGCATGTTTTTTCTTTGTTTTTTAATGTAGTATCAGACTGGAACATGTGGAGCACCACGGCAACATGGTCCAGAATTAGAGAAAAACTATTATGACAGTCTGCTTATAGTTTTAGAAACATTAGAGAAATGTTTTAGCCAACAACCAAAAGATTCAATAACTCTTACAATGGAAGAAAATCAAAATTTAAAATCTTTATTGAAGGAAATTTGCGCATTTTTAGGTCAGTAGTTGAGTATTTTTACTCACAATTATTCACTCTTGTTTGTTTTAGATATGTCAAATGATAATCCCAACACACATGCAATAAGAGTGTTAGCCAGTAAAGTTTTATTTGCTTTGAGTGTTAATTTCTTTAATGCTGTCTTTAATCGAATTTCATCAAAATTACAAGAGCTTGCATCCTGCCCAGATGAAAATCCTGATTACAGTGATATTGAACTAATTCAGCACATAAATGTTGATGTTAATAGACTTACTAGACTGCTAACAGGTACTTTGACTACCGATTTTTTACTACTATGTGTAACCACTACCAATTATTACCTAATCTTGTCTCATTTCTAAAAATTGTTTTACAGAGGCCATACAAAAATTTCGCTTACTTAAAAAATCGGCACATCTCGTTTTTGTTAATTCACTTGAAAAAGCTATATGGAATTGGATGGATCATTATCCTTACGAATTCGCTGAATTACAGAAAAACACAAATGAAGAGTTATCTAAGTGCTGTGAACAGTTATTTGACATTTTAGACAACTTTGCAGATAACAAAAAGGGTCGTGCCGCCCTCTGGTCTCTACAAATCATGCTTCTAATTCTAGCTCCTGTAAGATACTAACAATTGTATTCATTTAACTATTTAAACTTTTAGAAAGTCCTTGAAGAAATTGTCAACGCTGATAGTGGTGCTCCTTGTTCCCCTAGACATAATAAAAAGAAGCAATTTATTGATGCAATAAAACGCGGCATAGGACCTCATGGAAACTCAAGTAAACAATTAACTGAAGCCGCGGCAGTTACTTGTGTTAAATTATGTAAGGCTTCAACTTACATCAACAACAAAGACTCCAATAATGTTGCATTCACTTTAGTCCAAAGTGTCATTAATGACCTTAAAGTAACCTTTATCTAATCTAGTGAAAAACATAAAAATACACTTCTTTTTCAGTCGCTACTTTTTAATACTACAAAACTCTTCTCCAGAGGACAAAATTATCTATACCAAGATATGGATTTAATGATCGATTGTTTCGTTTCTTGTTTCCGTATCAAACCTCACAATAACGAAGCATTGAAAGTCTGTCTGAATCTCAATTCACCTTCTGTTTATCATTTCGTATTAGTCAGATCACTTTACCGGTAAATAATACACTTGTCGGTATTTTTGTATACTTTTTTTTATTTTTCCAGCATTGTTACTGAATCGAAATTACATTGGTGGCCCAAAATCGATTTAGTATATAGCAAATCGTCTGAATTAAGAGCAATGTTTACTGACACGCTAAATCGAGTTGCTCAAGGTTGCATTGCACACACTCCTCTACGCATGATACAATCGCTAACACTCAAAGGTAAAGACTCGCAAGCCAAGTTTAAAGAACGAGCTGAAGAAGTGCCTGGTCATAGGAATTTATTACTGTATATGGTGCGTTTAATTCACGCCGATCCAATGTTAATGCTAAACGTAGGTTTGCACCACTGTCAAAACTCATTTTTAATCGTTTGGTTTTTTTATCAGAATCAGGGAAAAGCCGGCCATGAAATACAAAGTTCTACATTAGAATTGATAAACGGTTTAGTTTCACTTGTTCATCAACCGACAATGCCAGACGTCGCACAAGAAGCAATGGAAGCCTTATTAGTTTTACATCATCCCGAAAAAATCGAAGTTTGGAACCCTGAAGCACCAATTAATACGTTTTGGGATGTTAGGTACGTTGGTACACTCATAGAAACCAAGAAGGATATATAGGCGGAGCCAATGCGTAGTGGGGAAACTTAAGCAGTGGCGTAACACAGAACCATTCTGTGATAAAAAGGGAATTGTAGAGTTGCTTTTTTTTCGTGTATTCATTGATTGACATATTAAATATAAAAAAATTATACGATGCTCCACGATTATTTCAAATATACAGAAAGTAATGAATAGATTCGTTTATTAAAAATATAAACATACAGTGGCGGACACTGAATTTTGGACATCAAATTTATGTCAGTTCAAAAAATGGCAATGTAAGCCACGCTTTATTGTCATTATAATTAAAATTAGAAAGTTTTAATTGAAATTTATTTTTGATTTCGATTTTTCAAAACAATGTCAGCAATACGTGTTTTTATATAAGTTCAATAAATTGTTCGTGTCAAAGGTAAAAAGTAGCAAGGAGTATCAATTATAACAAATGATAATTAAAATTCTGAAACAAGGTTAGAAAAAGCGAAAGAACAATTTACACTATTAATCTGTCAGGGGAATTGGGTGGACGAAATTCATTGTCCATCACTGTACATGGATTATTTGTTTTTTTCAAATAAATAAGTGCGAATACAATACACGCCACTGCTCTCAGCTGATTTCAGAACTCCCCTATATTTACGAATGGATTCGTCCGCGACCCTGCGCATCCCTTCTTGGTTTCTCTGCCCTCTAAATAAGTATTTTTATAGTTCTCAAGTGCTGTTTTCAATATCACAAAAGTTGATCCAACACCAAATTATGAATTATACCGATATTTTGAAATGGTTGCGAGAGATTTTAATTTGTAGAAATGCATTTTTATCTAGACATAAAGAGTATGCTAATCTTGGTAGTCAAATACCGATATGTAAACAAGCGCACATAAAATTAGAGGTAAGAGAATTTCAATTTTATGGATATTTAATCTTATAATTTTTAGGTTGTTTTCTTTATGTATTTGTGGAGTATTGACATGGATGCTGTCTTGGTAGCAATGAGTTGTTTTGCATTATTATGTCAAGAAGCGGAAATTAGATGTGGTTCTGATGAAGTCACTGTGACTTATCTAGTACCAAACTATCACGTATACCAAGAACTGGCCCAAGCATCTACTGTATTAACCACAGGTAACTTGATTTTTTTACTACTAACAATATAACATATCAAACACACTAACAGCCAGCGGGGAATCCAGAATGTGTTTCCCAGAACATGCCAACGGTAAGTATTTTATTAATATGGCGGTAAGTAAGTTGTATTTTTCTAATTTGCGTTTATAATACGTTTAACGTCTCTCAGTAGGGGTCGTTTATGGCTATCTAGAGTGCGATCAAAAAGTCTTTCTATCAAGTAGGCGTCCTAGTTGAGGCAGTTCGTATGTTATCTAGATGTCAAAAAATTATTTTATAAAAATTGAAACATTGAGCTAATTAAACTGAATTATTCTATGAATCGTCTCAAAACAAACTAAAATAAGATTTTGTTGGTGTTTATTCATAAAAATCGTTCACCACGGTTTCCTGTCATAATTTACATAAAAATTATTTTAACATTTCTCATTTGTCATTGTGACATTTTATTTTCCACAGACATACGTTTTAAATTTCTACGCTTGCTTGATAGACAGACTTTTTGATCGCACTGTATAAAATCACACTGTACTTTAATGAATTTAGGGTTATTTAGTTTTTGTATAAATTCTGTTGACTCATATTTTATTTATTATTATTATGTTGTAACACTAATAACTAATAATTTGTAAATTTTATTTTTAATGACAGACGACAGAAATGGTTCAAAAAATCAGGTGGGCGCCGAGTGTCACCAACCGATACCAACTAACACAAAATTCTCTAGACGTAGACGACAAAAATATATTTTTTTTAATTAAAATAAGAAAAAAGGGGGCGCAAATTATAAAAAATAGCATAAAATACTCAAACTTGTTCTTTAATATACTATTTTATGACAGGTCGGGCTGCTTTACAAAAACGTATAATGGCCCTATTGCGCAAAATCGAGCATTGTGTCAACGGAGTACAACCGGCGTGGGAAGAAACATTTATGAATTGGAATTCAATGTCAAAGAACTTGTCTTCGTACCCTAAGGCGAAAGTCGAGGATGGTCAAATGGAACCGTTTCATAGATCTATGGGAAAACGAAGAGCATCGCATCAAAACTCCGAACATGAGTTAGAAGAACAAATCAACGAATGGGCAAACATGACTGGATTTTTATGTGCTTTGGGTGGTGTCTGTTTACAAAGAAAATCACCATCAAGACCCACCTTATCGATATCGTCACACTCGAGTCTGTCTACGGCCACTATCAGCTCGATTGGGTCTAGTACATTGTCTGAGAGTCGTAAATCGAGTGTGCTAACAGGAGCACCACAAGAACAGAGACAGTATTGTCCTGTCACTCAGTGAGTTATATTTGTTACAACTGTTATTTGTTTTACTACGACTTTTAGATTTGTCGATTTGTTACTACGATTGTTGGTTTGCAATAATGAAAAATTTGGGGCTCAAATTCAAAAACATGTCAAAGAGCTAGTCGGTCATGAAATGTCATCAGCACTATATCCGATTCTTTTCGAACAAATCAAGACAATTGTTGATAAGTTTTTCGACCAACAAGGCCAAGTTGTAGTCTCTGATGTTAATACTCAATTTATTGAACATATAATTTTTATAATGAAAAATATCTTAGATAGTACTAAAAACGATCAACCTTCTGAACATTTAGGTGTTACAAGTATCGAAGGTATGATGTTGGCTATAGTCCGATACGTGCGCCATCTGGATATGACAGTTCATGCAATCCATATAAAAACAAAACTATGCCAACTTGTTGAAGCTATGATGAAACGACGTGACGATCTAGCTTTTAGACAAGAAATGAAATTCAGGAATAAATTAGTCGAATATTTAACTGATTGGGTGATGGGAACGTCACATCAAATAGCACCACCTAGTTCAGGTGACGTAACAATGATCACACGTGACTTGGATCAAGCCTGTATGGAAGCAGTAGCTGCACTTTTGAGAGGACTACCACTACAACCTGAAGAGTCAGATCGGGGTGACTTAATGGAAGCCAAAAGCCAACTTTTCCTCAAGTATTTCACACTTTTTATGAATTTATTAAATGACTGCTCAGATGCCACCGAAGTTGAAAAGGATGTTTCAAGACAAAGAGTGAATGCTAGCAAGCTTAGCACTCTAAGAAATGCCACTATCCAAGCAATGTCGAATTTATTATCGGCGAATATTGACAGCGGATTGATGCACTCTATCGGTAAGTTAAAATTGTTAATTATCCGTATTGTTGCTGATTGTTTTACTCAGATTTGGGTTACAATAAAGATTTGCAAACTCGTGCTGCTTTTATGGAAGTTTTAACAAAAATTTTGCAACAAGGAACTGAATTCGATACATTAGCTGAGACAGTCTTGGCTGATAGGTTTGAACAGTTGGTACAATTAGTAACAATGATAAGTGATAAAGGGGAATTACCAATCGCCATGGCTTTGGCTAATGTTGTAACAACGTCACAAATGGATGAATTGGCGCGTGTTTTTGTGACTTTATTCGATGCCAAACACCTTTTATCTCCTCTACTTTGGAATATGTTTTATCGAGAAGTTGAAGTGTCTGATTGTATGCAAACTTTATTTCGTGGAAATTCACTAGGGAGCAAAATTATGGCGTTTTGTTTTAAAATTTATGGTGCTAGTTATTTGCAATGTTTATTAGAACCGTTAATTCGACCTTTGTTAGATGATCCGAGTTGTAGTTTTGAAGTAGATCCAGCTAGGTAAGACTACAAGTGGTGAAAAGAGACCCTTCATTGAGTTTAATCGTATTATAGATTAGAACCGAATGAAGATATAGCTGAAAATAGACAAAACTTGATAGCTTTAACTCAGAAAGTATTTGATGCGATTGTGAGCAGTGCTGAGAAGTTTCCGCCTCAATTGAGGTCGATGTGTCATTGTTTGTATCAAGTTTTGAGTAAACGTTTCCCACAATTTCCGCAAAACAATATTGGGGCTGTGGGTACAGTGATTTTCTTGAGATTTATCAATCCTGCGATAGTTTCGCCTCAAGAAATGGGAATTGTAACGAAACAAGTTCCAACATCGGTGAAAAGAGGACTCATGCTGATGTCAAAAATTTTGCAAAATATTGCTAATCACGTTGAGTTTAGTAAGGAGCAACATATGTTGCCATTTAATGATTTTCTAAGAGCACATTTTGAGATTGGGAGAAGGTATAACGACGAATAATAGTCGTCTTAATAATGACGACGTATAATTTTCTAGATTTTTTATACAAATTGCGTCTGATTGCGAGACTGTTGATCAGACTTCACATTCAATGTCGTTCATAAGTGACGCGAATGTGTTAGCTTTGCATAGATTGCTATGGAATCATCAAGAGAAAATCGGAGATTATTTGTCTAGTAGTAGAGATCACAAGGCTGTTGGTAGGAGACCTTTCGATAAAATGGCAACACTGTTGGCGTATTTAGGACCTCCCGAACACAAACCGGTGGATTCACAGTACGTTTGTCCACGTTTTATTGTGTTTTCTTTCACGTAATGTTTCAGTCTTCTGTTTTCGTCGTATGCTAGATGGAGCTCCATCGACATGTCTTCAACCAAATTTGAAGAACTGATGGTGAAACATAATATGCATGAAAAAGAGGAATTCAAATCGATTAAATCATTGAATATTTTTTATCAAGCTGGGACTAGTAAAGCTGGCTTTCCCGTTTTCTATTACATTGCTCGGCGTTACAAGTAAGTGGTATGACTACAGTCGTAAATGTAAGGTAATTTTTATGTTAAAGGATTGGAGAAACAAATGGAGACATGCTTATTTATCATGTTATATTGACATTAAAACCTTTCTGCCATTCACCTTTCGAATTAGTTGTCGATTTCACACACACTTGCTCAGATAATAGATTTAGGACCGAATTTTTACAAAAATGGTTTTATGTTCTGCCTGAAGTTGCCTATGAAAATATTCATGCCGCTTATATTTATAATTGTAATAGTTGGGTGCGTGAATATACTAAATTTCATGATAGAATTCTAGCACCTCTCAAGGTAAGTTCAAGTTGTTTTATTTTCTTCCGATGTTATGAATATTGACTACTATTGCTTTTAGGGCAATCGTAAATTGATATTCATTGATGCCCCTAATAAATTAACAGAATTTATAGAACTCGATCAACAGAAATTACCTGGTGCTACATTAAGTCTAGATGAAGATTTAAAAGTATTTAATAATGCGTTAAAATTGTCACATAAAGACACCAAAGTTGCAATAAAAGTGGGACCTACAGCGATTCAGATAACTTCATCAGAGAAAACCAAAGTGTTGTCACATTCGGTTTTACTTAACGACGTTTATTACGCTTCCGAAATCGAAGAAGTTTGTTTAGTTGATGACAATCAGTTTACTCTGACGATAGCGAATGAAAGCGGTCCTCTTAGTTTTATTCATAATGATTGTGATAGTATTGTACAAGCAGTGATACATATTAGGAATCGGTGGGAACTCAGCCAACCTGTAAGTAAATTAATTATTTTATTGTACAAATATTAATTTAAAATGATTTATTTGAGGATTCGGTAACCGTTCATCAAAAAATTCGACCAAAAGACGTACCGGGAACATTATTAAACATGGCACTTCTTAATTTAGGGTCCTCAGATCCGAATTTGCGCACAGCTGCGTATAATCAATTATGTGCGTTGACTGCAACTTTTGATTTAAAAATCGAAGGTCAGTTGTTAGAAACACAAGGTTTATGTATACCTTCAAATAACACGATTTTTATAAAATCGGTGTCGGAAAAGTTGGCCACGAATGAGCCACATTTAACGTTGGAATTTCTCGAGGAGTGTATTCAAGGTTTTCGTGTTTCCAGTATCGAATTGAAGCATTTGTGTTTAGAGTACATGACGCCATGGTTGGCCAATTTGGTCAAGTTTTGCAAACCGTCGGAAGAGAATAAAAGACAAAAACAGGTTGCGCAAATTTTGGAGAAATTGATTTTGTTGACTATTGAGGAAGTCGAGATGTATCCTTCAATTCAGGCGAAGATTTGGGGCTCGATTGGTCAAGTTCCTGAATTGATTGATATGGTTTTGGATAATTTTATACATAGATCGGTGAATTCGGGTCTGGGCTCGCCCATGGTGGAAATAATGGCTGATACTGCCGTCGCATTGGCTTCGGCAAATGTGCAATTGGTGGCAAAAAAAGTGATTGGAAGGCTGTGTCGAGTTGTCGATAAAACGTGTCAATCGCCAACTCCACTTTTAGAACAACATATGATGTGGGATGATATTGCAATTTTAGCAAGATATTTGTTAATGTTATCGTTTAACAATTGTCTAGATGTTGCTCGGCATTTGCCATACTTGTTTCATACAGTAACTTTCTTGGTGTGTTCTGGGTCGTTGAGTATGAGAGCTTCGACTCATGGACTTGTTATTAATATTATACACTCTTTATGTACCTGTACAAAACCATCTTTTTCGGAAGAAACCCAAAGAGTTTTACGCTTATCTCTAGATGAATTTTCTCTACCAAAATTCTATTTGTTATTCGGTATAAGTAAAGTTAAATCAGCTGCAGTTACTGCATTTAGATCGAGTTATCGACATCCGAATGAGAGGTGGTTTGGGACGGAACGAAGCTTTTCGGGGGCTTCAGCTGACAGAGAAAGACTCTCATTGACCTCACTTGAGGTCATAACTGATGCTTTACTCGAAATTATGGAGGCTTGCATGCATGACATTCCCAACTGTGATTGGTTGAACAGTTGGACTTCGCTGGCGAAAAGTTTCGCATTTTGTTTTAATCCAGCTTTACAACCAAGAGCACTTATCGTTTTCGGTTGTATTAGTAAGAGTATAACAGATCATGACATGAAACAGTTGTTGCGAATTTTGGTCAAAGCTTTGGAAAGTTTTAGTGATATTGTACTTATTGAAGCATTAGTTATGTGTTTGACCAGATTGCAACCACTTTTGAGGCCTGAATCTCCTATACATAAAGCTTTATTTTGGGTTGCGACCTCGGTTTTGCAATTGGACGAAGTATCTCTCTATGCCTCAGGCTTAGCATTGTTAGAGCAAAATTTGCATACTTTAGATTCTCAGGGAATTTTTGAAGACAAGGTTTGTACTGTAATAACATAAGAAATTATAAGAAATTTGTCAATTTTAGACGCTTGAGAACGTTATGATGTCAACGCGCGAACCACTTGAATGGCACTTTAAGCAATTGGACCACGCTGTGGGGCTTAGCTTTAAGGCAAATTTTCATTTTGCTTTAGTAGGACATTTGCTTAAAGGATACCGCCATCCTACACCTACCACCGTTTCACGCACTTCAAGAGTGCTAACCATGTTGCTAGCTATAGTAGCAAAGCCACATAGAAGAGATAAGTTTGAAGTAACACCGGATAGTGTAGCTTATCTCACTGGTAAAAAAATTTATTCGTGTTTTTGAAGTATTTATGTAGTTTTTTAGCTTTGGTTGGTGTATCTGAAGAAGTACGAAGTCGTTGTCACATCAAACATTCTCTTTCGAGAAACATGGCAGATTCAATAACTCAAGAAAATTTTATGAATGAAAACATGGCAAACATGTCTCACCAAAGTAACTCAGGAAATGTTACAAATACGGGTAGTGGTGTAAATCGCCGTCAAAAGTCATGGGATCTTCTGGATCAGTCGGCTATTGCTCAAGCCAGACAACACAAACAACCACCACAACACCAGGTGGGTTATTTATTAAAAAAATATATATATATATATATATGTATGGAGTAGACACATTATTGTTGCTACTAATGAAGAATTTGTTACTAATTGTAAAAGTATGGTAGTAACTGTTTAATGGACACATTTTTATTTATTAAGGGTTGTTAATGTAGTAGTAGTCTGTTCATTATTTTTTAATCAATTAATCAAATGCACGTGTAAATTAACAAAAATCAGTATACTCTTTTCTGTTCAACTTCACGTCGTTGGATGTTCGGTGTTGTCTCCATTTGATATTATTGATGTCGATTTGTGTTTACCGGTTGTTCTATTCATCGAAAACTTTCACTAATTTGTGACTCCACACTCTCATTCATTTAAGGTGATCATCAATTCTGTTATAAAAACTATTACTACAGGATTTGTTGTTTTACAAAACGGAATAATTGACTAGGTACATTATTACACCGAATTCGTTAACATTTTTTATATTTACAAGCGTAATTATATATTAAATGAGAAATGACTGCTTTTTTTTGTTCCGTTTGGTGATGAGTGAATATAGAATTGATCAAAAACATATGCGAAATTGATTTTTTTATTTTTTTTTGGATAAATAATACAATTTTTGCTTATCCTAAAAACCAAACGCAAAATTGGCGGTCAACAATTTTCACTATTTGATTTGATTTATTAAAATATAAAAACGAAACTTGAAACTTTGTGTTTATTCAGAAAAAAGCTGCTATCAAATAAATTACTGATTGAAGTGTCCTATGACATTGAAATTAAGTTGGCAACATGAACTATCAAATTCAAACATCACGGACATAATAATAATTTGGTATTGCCAACTTAATTTTAAAGTCGCAAGTACGGATACCTAAAGACTAGGATACGACACGATGTAAAACAAAACGTCCCCGTTGTCGATAGTTCCGTTAGCGAGGCCAGATAGCGCAGTTGTTCCTTTCCCGTTCAAGAAGTTTTAATAAAAAAAATGGCTGTATTTACATAACGGTGAGCAAAACGAAAATAAAAAAAAACAAAGGCAAATAGGGCATTAAATTCTCAATAATAAGAAATAAAGGTAATGCAAAAATTTTATTGAAAACTATATTTAAAAAATAAAAACATTTAGCAATTTGCGCCCCGTCTCATATTTTTGAAAATACTACGAATACGATTAAAAATACAAGAAAAATATAAAAAAGAAAGTTGTAGAGAATGAAATTTATAAGAAAAAGGTCCACGAGATGATACCTCTGTCTTCAATGGTTTAGGTCCTAAAGACGTTCAAAGAGGCTCAAGCGACGACTACGGCTCATTTTTACCGGTGGTCAAGAGACAGAAAATTAATTTAAATCTAAACGGTTGAACATAGAGATATGGTCTCGCGAACTTTTTTGTAGGAAATTTAATTCTCCACAATTTTGTTTCCTACACTTTTTTTGTATCTTCAACCGTATTCGCAGCGTTTTCAAAAATATCGAAAACAGTATTAAAAATAATATTAGTTTGCGTTACGCCCAATATTTTTAAGAACGCTGCGAATATGATTAAAGATACAAAAAACTGTAAGAAACAAAATTGTAGAGAATAAAATTTTCTACAAAAAAGTCCGCGACACCATATTTCTATCTTCAACGATTTAGGTTTAAATTGCTTTAAAATATCCTCCCGGCACTCAATCACCAGTAAAAATGAAACGAATCCGTCGCTTTAGTGGCTTTGAACGTCTTTGAGGCCTAAACCATTAAAGATAGAGGGACGGTGTCGCGGACTTTTTTTACAACTTTCTTTCTTACATTTTTCTTTAACCGTATTCGCAGCATTTTGAAAAACATGAAACGGAGCACGATTTTGAATTTTAAATATTTTTTTTTCTCATATTCCTCGTGAAAAATTTAGTGGTTCGTTTTTTACAGCTTATTAAGAATATAAAGCTCAACATTTTTGCATTTTTTTCCAAGCAATTAGTAAACTGGTTGAATTTAAATTAATTAAAAACGATTTGAAACTGAGACGATAAAACGCTCTAAGCGCCCTCATTTTTACTCCTCCGTACGTAGTACGGTATTTTTGGGTCTAAAAATCAAGCAATTTTGTATCTCGTTTCGTCTCCTAGTATGTAGTTCTCCGTAGTCGCAAGTCACTTTGATAAGTGATAAACGATGATGAAAAGTCGATAGTAGTGTTGATGTGAAATGGGGTGTGTGATAATTGATAGTAATTGTGGTGCCATAACTGACTAGGTTGAAAATTCGACAGCCAGTAAAGGCTGGCGAAGTCTAGACTTATCCCAGAGCCCGGGACCTCAGGCAAACGGGGGCCTGACCCGGCCTCTGTATCGCACCCAGCGTTCTAGTTCAGTACCCGTTCAGCAGAACCCAACACCCAATGCATTAAACAGTGAGACACATAGCCAGGCCGTGCCTCCTATTAAAGTAAGACTTGCCTGCCTTACGCAGCATTGTCACTACTTTTTGCAAATCTTTCATTGCGACCATCATCTTTTCGTAATATTAGAGAATTTACTAACGCGGGGTTCCCACATCAATGTTACGCCATGTGGTAGCCCTGATCGTGCTTTGTCTCGTCCTTATTGTTGTTGCCACTCTGTACTTTCCCTATGTGTATATAGAGAGATAAGTATCGTTTAATGCCTGGATATAAATCCTCAATTTTGCACATGTACACCCGGTGAAAAAACTATTCACCAGTCTAACTTTCTTCTCACACTGCGCTTTGTTGCAATAGTGTTTCCGATTAACTAGTTGGGGAGCAGGTAATACTCTTATTTACTGACTCGAGGGCACACGTTTCTTCAAAACTGTCTTCTTCTGAAAATAAGTATAGATTATTAAATGGTGATTATAATCATTTGCAAAATTAGAGAAAAAAATGCACGCATTATCTTAAGAAAATTTTTGTGATTTACTTTTATTATTTTTATATTAACTTACCTTTAATTAAACAAAAATAATTGCTAAATTTTTCTATCACGTCACAGTTTTTTGTTACAGACGATAATTTTCCTGTTTTCTGCACAAATGCCTCCGATTTAAAATTTATTTTAATTCAAATTGTTGCTGAATTATTGCAAAATTATTACCATATGGGGCCAAATAGGTACAAAAAACATTTTACTGACCCGCATTTGGACTTCTTTTCTAAAAATTTATGGACCATGAGTGACAAACATGACCGTTGTTTTCATCAAGATCTAAAGGGTTTTCAAAAAAATATGTTTGTAGATTACTGTTGGATTGTTATAATTGTTATAAAGAAAACTGATCCAAAAAGTAATTACATATTTCTTAAACTTAACGTATTGAACTTTTTAAATATATTTTTTTTTTGAACTCAGTGCCTCAAAATCTATAAGAAATTATAACATAACTTTCAGCTAAGGTATAAAAATCGTGTAAACTAGTGTAATTTCTTCTCTGCGTTTTAAATCCCATCACATTACCGTTTTATTTTTTTGACAACGATGTCGCTTTGACAGATAAGTTAACGCAAAATAACAAAAATGTAAAAAAAAACAATTTTAATAAATGGTAAGTCATTTTAACAAAAATAGGTATTATTCAATTAATTAATTAATTGTCAAAGTGACATATAGTTGTCAAAAAATTAAATCGCCAAAGTGATGAAACTTGAAAAGCAAAGAAGTAAGAAAAAAAACAACTTTTTTTTCCACTGAGTCAGAATAATGAAGTTTTAATTACAGATTTGCTCGTTTCAGATAAAGCCAAAACAACCCTCGCTGTTAAAGTGTTACTTTATCTACTCGCAAAAGAGTTTATAAAGAAATAATTTAACATCTGCCATTGAAAAAAAGTAGTTTGGCCGTAAAATCAAAGGTGAAAATTTGTTTCCTTTTGACTGGCTATTATAAAACGTATTGTTAAGTTTAGAATTTTGATTATAAAAGAAATAACTTGATAAAAATTGGTAAAATTCACAGTTTATTAAAAAATTCTGGCATTTAAAACTAATTCTACAATCTTGATTTTTGAAAGCTGTAGATAGAAAACCTTAAAAGTCAAGTCAAAAAAAATGTTTTTCCTTTGCAGTTTTGGCGTAAAATCAAAGGTAATTTTTTTTTCTTTTGTAAACTCAATCCGTGAACATACTGCACACTTGCAAAATACATTTCGTAAATAAATTTATGTATTCGTAATTTGATAATTTGAGCAAGCTTGTTTATTATAATCACAGTTTAATGTATACGTTATAATCTATGCTCATTGAAGTAATTTTCAAAAAAAAGTCAGTTTTCGGGTCCGGACCAACTTCCTAAATAAGGGTTTTTCGACATATTACCTGCTCTCCAACTAGTTAGTCTGTTAGTTAGATTGGTGAATAGTTTTTTCCCCGGGTGTACTAAATAACGGAGTATCTGTGCCGGTGCCGCATTTTGCATACTAATCCTTGCTGCTTACCTTGCCTGAATGCCTTCTCTGGGGGTGGCCACCATTCAGAGTGCACGTGCCCTCTTCAAAACACAACGTTCATTCTCGGTGCCAACCACCAAAGAGCAAAAACTTCTCGATCAATCTGACGACAAGGTAATATTCTACTATCAAACAATCTACGATAACACTGCTTCTATCACCGAATCAAATTTCGTAGCTTTTGTTTTTTTTTTTCCTATACCTTATTCCTAAAACATCCTCCCCAGGGCCAACAACCTTTATAGGTTTATCAATCACTTAATTGTGTGAGTATCGACTTTTGATAAATCTATAAGTTAAGCATGTTGGATGGCTGTGTTAGCATCTTGGTTCGGTGTTTTCTCCATGATTCATTTAAGTAAAGTTTTCTTAATTGATGTGTTTTTTTAGAACCGCAGTACAAGGGTTTCAGTAAGCAACGAAAATAACGTCCTTCTTGATCCTGAAGTTCTAACAGACTTTTCAACTCAGGCCTTAGTTTTAACCGTGTTAGCAACTCTTGTTAAATATAGCACAGACGAAGCTGAAACTAGAATATTATATCAGTATCTTGCCGAAGGCGCCGTAGTTTTCCCGAAAGTATTTCCAGTAATGTGAGTTGAGTTAACTTTCTCTTTTGATTTTTGTCTTATAACCAAAAATTTTAGTTATAACTTGTTGGATATGAAAATAAACAACGTTTTAACCTCTTGCCACGACCAAATAATTTTAAGTGCAGTCAGGAGTATCATCCAAAATATGATAGCATGTGAAGATACTAGCCAACAGCAACTTCACTACTTGCAAAGCTGTGGTTTTGGGGGACTTTGGCGCTTTGCTGGACCATTTAACAAGGTACTTACTGATCTATTTTGTCTTAAAAAATAAATCATAATTGAAATTTTCTACAGTACAACAATACGGCCGAAAGTAGTGAATTGTTTGTAAATTGCTTAGAAGCAATGGTTGAAACATGTCTTCCTATAGAAGAATCTGAAGGAGAGAATGGTGAAATGCAGCAATATCCTTCAATGTTAAGTGTTAGTTCAAATATGAACCTTTCCTCTAGTCTTTCTAGCCTTACTTTGGGTTCACCGACGGAAAAAGAGATTACGAGAGATTTAGAAGGGGGAAGTACAACTTCATTGGGACGGGCTTCATTTAGCAAACAACGTAGTTTAAAAACAAAAACACATCTGCATTCGGAAGGGTCATCTATTCATAAATAAAATTCTTAGCAACTGGACGATTTTTTTAAGTAGGAGAATTTAAACACATTCAGATATTTACGAGTAAATCGTATAAATTAATTAATCTATTAGTTTTAAAGGGATATGTGAAAAGATACTGTACAAAACAAATGCTTGTAATTAATTTTAGTTTAGATTGTACAAGTAAATTCGTACAGCATTTATTATATTTGATTTCTTTAAGACGATGCAATACCAAACATTACTTTTCTTTTATGCATTTATTCCGTGATTAATTTCTATTATGTAAGTGTAATGTACTTTATGGTTGTCACATTTTGTGTTCATTTTTTCAACATTCAACTTTTTGTTGTATATAGTTGTAAGTATCGCATCAGTATTTTTTAACATTATAGTGTTTTAATTTGCTTTTTTCTTTTACTTTAGTTCCTATTTATTTTATTATGGTTCAGGGCGTCTCCAAACACAAAAAACATACCTGAATTACGTAACTAAAAACGATTTCATTTGATAGAATGTGATACGTAGACGGTGTTCATGAATTAATTAATTTTTGACAAATTTTTCACATATCCATTTCTACTGTCATTGCTATTTGATGTACAAATCTCTAGAACCCTTTATGACAATTAATTTAAATTATTGTTTTTATCCAATGTTTTATTATACATACTTGTTTTAGTGTACGGTGATGTTTCAATAACATTACGTAAGGGACCAGAGTTGAATCTTGTACGAATTGTCATAGGAAATGTTTTAAAACTTTATTTTTACATGAAAGAGTGAAAGTGGAGTTTTATTCGATTGTGCACAATCGTAAAAACATTATCACTCATTATGGAAACCTCACTGTACACGTGATTGTTTTGAAAATAATTTTATTATTTGAATTCAACTCTTGTTTATATCTACATAAAAATTCTATTTGTGATAGATTAATGTATAAATGAAAATATGTATGTTTCTTAAATATGACAAATGTTTGTATCTATGATATTACATAATATAAGAATACGCGTTGCTTTATTTATTTGCCGCTTCTTGCTGATAACTATTAAACTTGTTAGAGGTGGAGTCAAGTTTTGAAAATGTGGAGGGGGTGCTATACTCGCACTCGCATTGGATAGGAAAAATGGCGGATCCGCCTATCGGTGTATTGAAAGCGTTAAAAAGGCAGTATTTTTGAACTTTTATTACAAATGACAGAATACAACAAAATTCGAACGAAAATGATCAGTCTTCTAACAGTAAAGATACATGATTGGAATAAATCATTGTTCATTAATCCATTCGCAGCTGAGTGCTGCTGAAGCAGTATATCTCAAACTTGGATCAGGTTCGATTAAATATTCAATAAAGCTGGCAAACGGTATCGCATCGAGACGTTTCCATTTGTACTTATCAACAAGAACATCTTCAATTTTCCAAATCTTCAGCTGACTTTCTTCAATGTGTCTCAATTTACCGTTAGAAAAAAACGTATCGGATTTGGTACCCCTCTTGGTTATATATGTGGGAATGCCGCCGAGGACTTCCCATATTAAAGTAATGTGGTCCACATCCAAAGAGAAGTTATTATACATTTTAGGATAGAACAAGAATTCTCCTGTCGCCAATTCGAACGCGAGACAACCAACCGACCAAACATCGGCGGGACAGTCGTAACCCGCATCCAAGATCACTTCTAATGCGCGGTATTGCCGAGTTTGAATGGTCGAATTATACTTATTATTCTAAAATAAAAGAAAAATACATTTTGTATCTTGACAATGTTACTAAGTATAACTTACAACCCAGGTTGCATTTCCCATATCGCCAATCTTGACTTCAATATTTGCGTCGATCCACATTGGTCCCTTCAGTTTAGGCTCAGCATGTTTCCTTCGGAAACTAACAATTTCTGATAGAAACGGATCTTGGGGATAAGACCGTGTACGCAAAAGTTGGACTCTTTCATATTCCTCGAGGTCTTTACAATAAGGCTGGACATCAGGCCAACGATTTGAGGTAACTGAAACATCACTTAAGTCAATAACTCGTAATTAGTTAAGTTAAATAAGTACCGTATGTTTTCGGAGGAACTATTCCTAATTCACTGAATCTTTTCGCAGTATTTACCATTTGACGAATATACGGTTCTTTGGCTTTAATTAAGATATTTTCCGGTTTTAAGTCAGTATGGATTATGCCGCATTCTTCGTGTAAATATTGTAGACCTTGAAGAACCTTAAATTTCACAATTATTATTGTTACACAATTTGTGTGTGTTTTTTTTACTTGTTTTATTATTCTTCGAACTCCAGGAAGTTGTATGCCTCTATATTCGCTTTGTTTTATTAAATGTAGTAATGATGGTCCCATCACTTCTAAGACAATGGCAGTGTGATTGCCATTAATACTTTGACAAGAAAAAAAGTCAAACATTTGTACTATATTCTTAAAACCGTTATGACCAGGATTTGCCAAATTCGTACAATCTAACAATTTTATTTCATCTTGGGCTAACGCTCTTAACTTTGACTGGGATTTCGACATTTTAATAGCCACAAAGTCGTTATTTCTGAAAATCAAAAAAAGTGAATAAAAGAATAATATCAATTTAAATACGTACATTTTATTTTGACAAAGCCAAACTGTTGAAAACTGCCCGTAGCCCAATTTTCGACAAACTTCGTATTTGTTGTCTAGGATATCTCCTTCGGAAATGGGCATATAGCCCCCGATATTGTAACTTGTGGGGTCTTCTTGGGACGAACTGCAGTTATTTTCACTTGCGACAATCTGGTTTAAGTCATCTTCATTCATGTCTTCTACATTTTTCGATGGTGTGCTATAAAATGGAGGGCAAGAATATGAAATGTATCGTCGAATAAGTGGCACTAGTAGTAATATTTGTTCGATTTCGCTTTGATCCATGCTTGAAGCATCATCTCCGTCGTCTTTGAATAAATTCGTAACTTTATAACTGATGAAAAACAGAACTGGTAACAAGATATGATTAAGCATTGCCACACATAGAGTTATGATACGCCAGTTTGCGGAGTCATTTTCATAACGTAAATTTAATCCACTTCGAATCGTCTCATTCGCATAACATACAAGGTGTTGTTCCATTTTGAATTGAAATTTCGCGGTTTGCCGTCAGGGATTTCAATTCAATTCCTTAAACTTAAAAATAATTACGTCACCGGTGTTTGGCAAACGCACAAAATTAAAATTGTACCGATCTGGGTTTTATTTTTAGGCAATAGATTTGGCAGTTGAATTATTTAAGCTCTGAATCTGTCACAAAATTCGCTGCACCACTTATTTTGACATTATCACAAACGACACTTGATTACTTGATTTTGACTTAAGTCAAATCAACCCTTTCTCGAAATTCAGTTACACTTTAAATCGTAACGGTTTTTTTGGTTAAATTTCAAAGTGATTTTATTATAGTGCGGAACCAAACTCGCACAAACAACCGGACGGGTCACAGAAAAATACTTGAAACCTTCCCAATATCTGAAAGAGGTATTAACGCGGTATTTTATATTTTTCTTAAGGGCTGATTATTTATTTTTATCACTTGGAACACACACTGACTGCGTAACCTAGTTTTTTCAACTTTAGGGTGCAAAAATTGAGGGCGGGGGCGCTTTTGATTGACATTAATGACGTAATCAAAACAGGTTGCCAATTTAGCAATAAAAAAATTAATCAAATTATTCATTTTTATATGGAATATTTATGTTTATGAATTATTGTTTTTTATTTTTTGCCAAATTATAATTTTTGGCACCATAATAAAAAAAGCAAAAATATGTGCGTCAATACTAGAAACTGACCTGGCATTATTTCGACATAAATATATACAAAAATCTAAATTTAGATAACGGTGTGCCAATTTTATCAATAATACATTTTAAATATATAATTTTGGTTTGACCCACAACTTTCTATACAGGGTGTTAATATTTGCTCGCAATCCACAAACACTCTGTATAACGATGGTAGAAAAATTATACTTTGTTGTTTCTAACTTTTTGGTTGAAATAAAAATAAATAAATAACGTAATGAATGGCTCTGTTTATTTATTTGATTTGCATAATAAAGAATTTCAAATTAATTAATATTATACATACATGTGAAGTTAGCTGATGGTGGTTGGTGGGACTGTTATTTTTTAACATTTTTGGTGTGACAGCAGTGTCAATATTTTTGAGTCATTTTGTTTGTTATTAGTTTGCAATTAATTAATGGGGTGTACGAACAGAATGGGTAAAATAATAGTTGAATTATCAAAATTATTTCAAAACATTTTTGAAGTGAATGTAACCTCAAATGTTTTTTTTATTTATTTGTTGCCTGCCAACAAAACAAAGAATTTTGTAATGAAAATGTTTTACTACCGATCAAAAAAATAAATAAATTAGAGTAGGCGTCGATTAAATTCTACAGTTGGCAACACATTGGCTGGGAATTTGGGCTGGAAATTTTCCACATGAAAGTGAAAATGACCATTCACCGTTTTCGTCTTGTACAGCAATAACAATTTTCTGTTCTAAAGTGAATTATTTTACTCAAAACTTGTCAAAGTTTCCTCTGTCATTTGATGTCAAAAATCTTTAATCACCGCCTACTCTAATTTATTTTTTTTTGATCGCACGGTAGTTTTACACGTTTAAGGTTTTAGTTATAGTGTCTTACTGCAAAACATTGGTACGTACAATTTCTTTTTAATTTTCAGCTGATATTTTTTAAAGTAAATTTATTTCACATATAGACTAGAATAGTAGGTATATCTCAAAAAATATTTACTTATTATTGAGCATTTACTCTCTAACCACTATTACATTATTACAATATTTACATATAGCTTCATTACTGTTTTATGTTAATAATATAAATAGCTATAGTGCTATACGCTATAGGGGACCTTTTGGCCGTGTGTGGGGCAATCGATTGTCATATTTTGTTGCATTGTTTACGTCATATTGATGTGGGTGTGCAATGCATTTATTGTCAATATTAACTTACAAAGAGGAAGATTCGTGAGCATAGAAGGATTCTTTTTGCCTCGTCGGTGGCGATAGAGACAACGAAAGGTAGTCAAGGCGATTAGTTTCAAGTTCACGGAATTGATGTCGAGTTCTGAACTCATCACACTCTCCATAATCTCTAGGTTGATAATGTTCGGACGGAATTTGGTGTTTGTATCTCCACGCGTGTTCGTCAAGATGCGAATAGTGCCGTGAGGAGTAGGACTCGTAGTCTTTGCATTCGTTTTTGAAGGCGTTCTTTTTACCATAAGTGAGGAATAGTCGTCCTTCGTCCACCAGCGATACAGGCCGAGACCTGAGGTGGATGGTGTCCAGTGAGGAGTGAATTTCGGAATGGGTTTTCTCCTCGCCGCCGCTGTTCGACCTTGAAAGCCCACTAGCTCGAGATGTCGTCTGAAAACTGTGGGGCACCTCTGGAGCCAGGTTGAAGCCTGAAGGGAGCGCGAACTCACGAAGGGTTCTTTTGCACAGAACTTGCTCACACCTGACGGGACCTCATGCGATTCACTCATAATGGTAGAGGCGGATTTGCTGGTGATATGTATCGGCCCGCGACATGGGGATTACGGCTTCCAGTACTTCACTAATCATTCGGCTGGGAGCCGACACAAGCGCATGTGCGACCTGGAGAAACCGTTCGATAATCGACCCGAAATACGGAAATTAAACTGATTACTTTACTGAAACCACAACTGTCTTCACCCTCTGCAAATCCCGATTTTTTAACCCGATTACCAGGACCACACTTTCTTACCCGATATGCGAACACCGCCCTTTTTTCGCATCGACTATCCAACGCAATTTTATAACATCGGTCTACACCCACATCAATTTCGACCAAATACCTCAATGATATCAATGTTGATAAAAAACTGTAATTGAAATAAATAGACAATAAAACTTGTGACATAATAATATGATTACCAAATTAACCTGCAATGTTTAACTTGTTTCTAAGATACGTCAAAATATAGTATTTTAAGTGGTTTTATGCAACATTATGGTGGAGGCGCCGGGTTAGTTGATACCAAATAGCAATTTATTTAAAACAGTTTGAAATAACAAATGTGGAGCTTAAATTTGTTTAATTATTTAATTATAAAAGAAAATAAGATTGAGTAATTGCTTGATACAAGCTGATGAAAACGTCACAGCAACCTTACCATATATTATTTTAGTGTTTTTTTTTATTAATTTTGGGTTTTTATAATAGCGGTTTACGTAACAAATAGTGGAGGTGCCGGATTGGTTAATAATTTTTTACGGGAGATTTTACAATTCAAATTTTTGGAGAATTTGTCAACAAATTGTTATACAGTAAAACCTCTCAAGAACGGACACCGATGAATCTTAAATTGTCCGTTGTGGAGAGGTGTCTCTTAATGGGAGATGTGCAAAATTTATAAAAAAAAATTGAAAAGCTTTTTTGTCCAAATTACAAAATAAATTAACAAAAATACAAAAATTGAGAAATTAAAAGCATTACAAAAAAATCACAGAGAAACATTTTTATTTGAAAAAAAAAATTGTTAATTTTTGTTTATTTAGACCAAAAGTTCTTTTGATTATGGTTTTGAAGTTCATTACTTTAACTAACAAGTTTTTCTTGGGGTTATTTTGTATTCTGCATTTACTGATAAAATTATTATTTTTTTATGTATATTACTTATTATTGAAGTGGGTAAGTACGTGGTAATGAAACAAAAACATTTAGCTGTACACTACTGGTTGCATATTTGAAGACTAAATGGCAGCTCGATTTTATTTTACACGGTCGTAACCGTGAGATCGACAGTTTTTATTATTTTAATATTTTTTTAATAATTTACGTCGTTATCTCGTACAAATTAAAATTGTATGAATCTCCGCACAAGAAGCCGCTTATAGGAAAGAGATATCTATTCGTATTTTTTTATTTTTTGTAGGTTTGTGCTTTATTTGGTATATGCAATTAATTATACACAAATTTGTAAATTTAGTTATTTATGGCGTTTTTTTACTCACATATGCTTTATCATGGCGGTTTCTGGCTTAATTTTTTGTTACCACAAGCAATTTAATTTTTTTTAAACCTAAGCTTCTGATGCTTAACAAGAACCACAATCAAAGGCGTCATTTGAAATTTTCTTGAAGGGGGGGGAGGGGGGAGGGGGGGGCAATAAAGTTAATTTATTAGCATACGAGTAAGCTTTTAAAATTAATAAATAGAGTATATAATTTATTCATTCAAACAATATAAAAATAAAAACAGTAATTTAATTAACACAAAAGGTTAATTTATTATCTAGATGGGTAATGACGCCCTTGACCACAATTGTGTTTTTTTGTTTAATATTTTGTGGCCACGAGCAATTTTCGTTTCATTTTTGTTACCACAAGCAATTTATTATTTTTGTTTTTAAGTCAAGTTAAGTTTCTGATGCTTAACAACTTTTTAACAAAAACCACAATCAAGGGCGTCATTTAAAATTTTCTTGAGGGGGGGCAATAAGTTAATTGATTAGCACACAAGTAAGCTTTAATTTTTTTTAACTGCATATAATTTATTCATTCAAACAATATAAAAATAAAAACAGAAATTTAATTTACACAAAGGGTCAATTTATTATCTAGATGGGTACTGACGCCCCTAACCACAATTGTGTTTTTTTTCAATTTTTTGTGGCCACGAGCAATTTTTGCTACCACAAGTAATTTATTATTATTTGTTTTTAAGCCAAGTTAAGTTTCTGATGTTTAACAAATTTGTAATAAAGACCACAAGCAGTTTTTTGATCAACTTCTAGAGAAATCTAGTGGAAATAACCAAAGGTTGGTAATACTAGAGGAATTCTCGTGAGCGTGAATTCTCGCCCGCGCAGTAGATCCAAAAAAAATAAAATGAGATTGACACAGTTGATAAAATTTGTATATTTTGTAAAATATGTGATATAAACGAAACTTGTTAGTTAAAATGCAAGCAAAAAAGCGCTATTTACTCTTATTCGTGTCATGTGCGTTTCTAGCGTATTGGTATTTTGGTGGTTACCGCTTGAAAAGCAGCAAGATTATAATGGACGATCATTTGCCTGTGTTTGTTAATTTAGATCAAGTTTATACAGGAAGTATCCAAAGGCAGCGTGAAATTTCGCCAATCAGTAACAATAAATTGTGTAGCATGGAAAACTGTTTTGATTTCGGTAGATGTCAACGAGGTTTTCGAGTGTACGTGTATCCTCCTAATGATAATAGTACGCCTAGTCCGTCCTACCAAAAACTGCTCAATGTTTTAATGGAATCGCGATATTACACTGCCGACCCTAGACTAGCTTGCTTATTTGTTCTAAGCATAGACACTCTTGACAGAGACCGCCTCAGTGCTGACTATGTCAGGAACATGCAGTCGCGTTTGCAGCATTTGCCACATTGGAACAATGGCCTCAATCACGTCATTTTCAACTTGTACTCAGGCACTTGGCCTAACTACACCGAAAACAATCTTGATTTCGATTACGGAATGGCCATTCTCGCAAAAGCGAGCATGTCAGAGAGTCACATGAGGACAGGCTTTGACATTAGCATTCCCTTATTTCACAAAGTCCACCCTGAGAAAGGGGGCGAAGCTGGATCAGTACTAGCCAACAGTTTGCCCCTACAAAAGAACTACTTACTGGCTTTTAAAGGAAAAAGATATGTGCATGGAATTGGCTCAGATACAAGAAATTCCTTGTATCACTTACACAACAGAAAAGATATGATTATGGTCACGACATGCCGCCATGGCAAAAGCTGGAAGGATATGAAAGACGAACGCTGTGACCAAGATAACAAAGAATATGACAAATACGACTATGAAGTCTTACTACAAAATTCCACGTTTTGTTTGGTTCCTAGAGGGAGGCGATTGGGGTCGTTTAGATTTTTAGAAGCTTTACAAGCTGGTTGTATACCAGTCTTATTGTCAAATGGTTGGGCTTTGCCATTTGCTCAAAAAATTGATTGGAGTAAAGCTGCTATATGGGCCGATGAAAGACTACTCCTTCAAGTAAAATCAATTCATTCATCAGTATTCAAAATAAGAGTCATTGACAATTCTAGGTACCTTACGTAGTACGTTCATTATCACCATCAAAAATTCTACAATTACGTCAACAAACACAAGTTTTGTGGGATAGGTATTTTTCGTCAATTGAAAAAATTGTCTACACAACGTTAGAAGTACGTTTTTTCTCGTTAATATTGTCTTTAATGTGTTTTTTTTAAGATCATACGTGAGCGTTTACCTTATGAACCATTTAGAGATGCCACTGTTTGGAATACACTACCTGGGGCTTTAGTTACGTTGCCAAGTTTTTCGGATCACCCGAAAAGTTTTCCATTCCAGATAGAATATAGTGATGTTGATGGCTTCACTGCTATTATTTATTGCCAACTAGGACTGCCGCTAACACCATCAGCCCCCCTATACAGGCTTGTTACTAATATCGCTCGAAGTAAATATGTCTCAAAAGTAATTTTTTATTTGAATTTTATTAATTCAAGTAATTGATCAAATCGTAGATAATCGTAGTGTGGTCGAATGATAAGCGTCCCCCCAGCAAGTCGCGCTGGCCTTTATTACCCCACAATATCAGTTTGCACGTGATTCAACCTGAAGGTGAGCCTACGAAGCCCAGCATTTCACAGCGGTTTTATCCACACCCCCAAATCGACACGGCAGCTGTGCTATCACTAGACGAAGATTCTGTTCTTACAACTGACGAAGTGGATTTTGCTTACATCGTTTGGAAGAAATTCCCGGATCGGGTCGTGGGATACCCTGCAAGGTCCCATTATTGGGACGACTCGAAATCAACATGGGGCTACACCTCAAAATGGACAAATGATTATTCTATTGTTTTAACAGGGGCAGCTTTCTATCATCGTTATTACAATGTTTTGTATACAGAATGGTTGAGTCCGCTCTTGCACAAGACTGTGGAGCAGAGCCAGAATTGCGAGGACATTTTGATGAATTTTTTGGTCAGTCATGTGACGCGACGGCCGCCTATCAAAGTGACGCAACGGAAACAGTACAAAGAACAACCGACTATCGGAAGTTGGTCGCCGTGGAATGATCCTGATCATTTTATCCAAAGACAGACTTGCCTGAATACCTTTGCTGCAGTGTTTGGTTATATGCCATTACTTCGATCCAATCTGCGATTGGATCCAGTGTTATTTAAAGATACTGTTGCTAATAAAAGGAAAAAGTACAGAAAAATTGAATTGGTGGGCAGTTAGTCCACGTTTTTGTTGTCTTTTTAACGATTGCTTAATTCTGTACTTTCCCGATATTCGGAAACGTATACTTTATATCCATGTATCTTCATGTTTTTACGTGCAATGTTTTATTTTTATCTTGATCAAATTTCAATGCATATCCTATTATCAGTGCTGAAACTTAAAACTTCTTTTATATTTTTACAAATACGTTTTTATATAAAAAACAATATCTTAAGGTATAGGGTTATATACTGTAGTTAAAACTAAATATTGTTTTTATCAGTTAATATTTTATAATCAAATGATTCATTTTATACATCGTGACTTTGTAAAATTCGATCAGTTACAAAAAAATATATTCCACAAATAAAAATATTAAAACTACTACCGTGTTTCTCTGCGGAAAAAGTTCTATTTTGTTCAAAATCTCGTTCTAAATAAAAATTATCTCTTGTTTCTACGGCTGAAATAAATACATACTTTGTTGTGAATAATTATTTATTAAAAACAAGTGGTGTAATTTTGAAACGAATGCAAACACAACAAGCAAAATTCTAAATGGGTGCATATTAACAAGTCCAACATTATTATTGATTTATTATAAGTACTTGTCTATACAGTATTCACATCTGTTGCATTTTTGCTTGGTTATATAATCTGATTACAATATCGACTTGAAATATACATTTTTTTATTTTACTCTGAGGTGGACTAAGCAATGAAGAATTCCGTCGTACTGGGCACAGTTGCTACATTTATTTAACAATTTTATGATGTATAACAATTAGAATACAGGATAAATATGCCTAATACACATAAGCTACATTTTAGTACTATGACATTAATATTTGAAACAAATTAAACAATAAAAAAATATAAACCATTTGCAACACTGAACAAAATTAAATCGTCACTTCGAAAATTAGATAACAGTCAATTTTTAAAATTCGCTTCTAAAGCAGCAAAAGAGTCATTAACAAAAAATATTTTATTTATTATTAAAATATGTACTTATATATTTAGAGAAGTCATGTCATTCTCTTACATGTTGACAATATTACTTCACAGAATTTTGTGATGTAATTTTTGTAAGAAGCTGACATGAATAATAATATAAATAAATAACAACAGCTACAAATAGAGTGTTTGAATGATTATTTACACAAGTACCTAATGCTAAAAGAATGATTTGAAACAGCCTCCATAGCAAATGCACACAATTTTATTACATTTATTAATGTGATAATAATTATTGTATTTTGCAAGATATTTCAGGTGTAGGACCCCCCCCCCCAAGAGTAAATATCACAAAATTACATAAAATAATACACTTATTAATCAAAGTTGGGACACATAAATATTTGAAAACATTTCTGTCTACTGAGTTAACCCAACTGTGACGATGTAATGACTAGACAATTTAAGTTTAACGGAATGTAAATCAGTCAATCCGATATGAATAGAAGCCCAAAAATAATAGGGAATACTGCTCTTACTTTAGATCCGTTCCATCCTTTAGCATTTCTTCGATTTCTTCAATTTCCTGCTCCCAAATATCCCTCTTATTGTTGGGTTCTTGTTCGGCAACTACTTCATAGTCGTGTAGTTCTGCCACCAACTCTCGTTCCCATTCTTCTATGTGAAAAACATTGGGGATAAGGATAGGCACAAAATAAAAACACAAAAATAATGTTGTGTTACTGTTTGAGCAATAAACCAGATGCTCAGAGTGTTAGTTTCCTGTTTCTAAAGTGTCAAATCTGAGCAACTGGTGGGTCCACACCATTAAAATTTTGAACCTCTTTAAACGTAACTAACAGTAATAAAGTGTATTCTTATCGATCTTCATACAGCATTTTTTCTAGTTAAAACACCTTTCCAGTATTGTCTTTAGTAAGCAACTCAAACTGTGTCCTTGACCGTAATTTTAGGAAGACACATATATTAATACCGACAATTACATTGCCAAAATACACCACATTTACAAGAGATTTAAAATTTGTCAACAAAAATTACTCAAGTGACACAGTCTAGCCAACATATTGTGGTTTTTTTTTTGTTTTTTTTTTTTCTTTTTTGGAGAATAATGTTCCACAAATTGCGCGCAAATATGCTAAAATTTATTGCATATATGCCCATCTAAATTAATTACAACCGTATGATCAGATAACTGTAGCTCAGTTCAGTTGGCTGTGGCTGTGATTAACACAAGTCGGCTCTTTAAGTAGATTTTAATTTGACATTTGGAATCGAACTTTTGTTGATCACGGACAACCAAAGGATCATGCGGTACATAACAGATTCAAATTTAGACCATTTCCAAATGTACAATGTCAATAAAAAACGACTTTTTTAATACGTTAAGTATGTAATTGTTTAACAAAACATATATCAACTCATAAAAACAAATTTGGAAAAGACTGGATTCAAAGGAGAAATAAGAAAAAAGGAGTTACAGTATAGATGGATAATGGAAGCTACAGTTGACGCCGTTCTTCTTAAGCTGCGACAAAATCAAACAGGAAACTAACCACAGCTTTGATATTGGTATAAAATTAAGTCGATATAAATTCAGTGAAAAACTACAACAAAAGCAAACACTATCTTACCCTTTGGTTGTGGTACAATAACAGTTTTCATCATGCGTTCAGCAACTTCAACAAAATCTTCACTGCTAGCCTGCAAACTATCTGACACAAACTCCTCCATCTCGTCATCTGAACTAGCTACCTCCCAATAAAATAAATAAAACTCAAAATAAAACAACTACTTCTACTATTTCAAGCAACGAAAGCTAAAAAAATTTAATAGCAAATCTCACCTATAGGTTGATCAGAAGTAATAGGTTGTGACTGACTGTCGCCATCACGAGACATGGATGACAATTCATTCGCCTGACAAATTAGACTAACACGGTAGAAATAATTCCTCCAAAAATTCTCTTCATTTATTCTAAAAACAAAATAATTTAGATAATCAATATTGTCGAGTTTGTTAACTTACACTTTAGGCACAAGTTCGTATCGCATCTTCTCCAAATTAGGGTCCTTTTCCATTATAGCCATAGCAACGGGGTAAGACACCTCATAGTCAAACTGGAAGTCAATTCCAGCAGGGGGACTACGAAGGAAATTTTTTTTGTCGGTTGAAAGACTGAGGCACTCTTCTTTAAGTGCCTCTTCATTGGAACAACCAACCCAAGGCGGAAGAGCAGTTGCAGTGTTACTAGCCTGGCCCTTCATAAACGCCTCTTGTTCCTTATTAAATTCCCCAAGGAGACTCTAAAAAAAAAACATTTACAATACTAAGACAACACAAGTAGAAAGACATACATTTTTTTCTACAGTTTCTTTAATTTTCGCACTCGCTTCGCTCACGGTCTTGCCTGCTTTATTCACAGCCGAGTACAAGAAAGAACCAAAAGATTTTGCCCCGGCCAAAGCTTTGCTTTGAACTGTTATAAAAAATTCAGTCAGATTGGAGGAAAAATATTAATGGAAGTGTTACCGTTCCCGAATTGACCTTCCTTTTCTTCAGTTGGTGATTCAGCAATTGATTGTGGTCCAGAATCGGCGCCTCCAGTGGCACTATTCAAAAAAAAATAATAGGTAGGAAAAAACACAGAAATAACTTACACCATTTCATGTTTTACATTATTTATTACGAAATAATAGCAAAAAATGTTTGAAAAACCGTAATTAACAAATAAATGTCAAAATAATCGTTTAAATGAAAAAATAATCAATTACTCACTTCTTTGACAATCCCTCCAATGGTTGACTAGAAATTTTTTATTTTTACATTGTGAAAGATGAAAAAATCGAAAATTACATGCTTTTATGATAATTTCACGAAACAGGATAACACATTCTAAAGAGTATTCCTTACTTGTATTTTTTTCATTAAAATCATTCATTTGCCATTTATTTGCTAATATCAATTTTTTAACAAATAAACATTTTTTGTTGTTATTTCTAAATTTATCTTATTTGTATAAGTCTTTTAATAAGAGTTCTCGAAATAATATTATTAAATACGCTAATTAACATCATATGAATTCCAAAAGTTGATCAAATTGTGTTTTCATAAATTCTGAATCGTATTTCCATTGTTGTATGTATTAATTATTGGAAAATTTGTACCTGGATATAAAAAAGTATATGATGTATAAAAAAACTACGGTGAAAATTTTAATTTCTCTTATTTTCCGAAAAAAAAAAGAAAAATAAGTGTTTTTGTTTTAATTGCCTCAGTTGTGAAATTGTAGATCCTCAAGAAAGAAATGTAATAATAATGCAAAAAATTTAAAAAACTTGATAAAGAACAGTCACTAGAAGGGTAGTAAAATTGAACATTAAAAAACGGTTTTAAGGAATGCACAAGATATAATAATTGATAAAAAATGGCAAAAATTTGACGTACTTAAGTGTCATGAATTTTTATGTTAATACTTGTACCAATATTTTAACATATATTTTGTTAGTGAACTAGTTTTTTGTGGTGGTTTTTCAGTTTTTTTTTCCTGATGATGAAAGCGGGTTTTGTAAATTTTGAATAATTTGTAAAATGGTTATGAAATGTGGAATACCTCGAGTTGTCGTCATCGTCCTTATGTTGGGGCGAGCCTTTAGTGGTCTCTGCAGACGCTGGTGTGTCGCCTTCTTCAGCAGAGGGTTGTTCTTCTGCACCTTCTTCTCCTTTCCTCAACTTGGGAATGCTCGAACCCAACCAGCCCCCAATCCCCTCAATCTGCGACTTAACATTGGTCAACATATCGAGTTTGCTACCCCCAATGGGCTTCGTGGGGCTGGGAAGAAAGTCAAGTTATCACATCGGAATAATTAGCATAGCATATAGTGATCGATATACCAATCGCGTTAAAAACGAGTACCTCACCTTGCATCTTTCTTCTCTTGATTAATGACCACATCGCCTTCTTCAGTTGGAGTGGGCACTTTTTCCTCCTGCTCTCCTTTGGCAGAACCCATCCAAGAGGTGACCTGGTTTGTAAGCCCCGTGAACATTTTCGCTCTCTTTGGTGTCTACTAGATGCAGCGATTGAACAATGGACCACTGGAGTCTTCTTTCAACTGATTAAAGCGCAAACGAACACATATTTTCTTCGATTGAACGGTTTTTAAGACCCGAAACTCTTTTACGATGTATATTTGATATTCTTATTCTTACTCACTTTTCACTTCGGGCTTTTCCTATCGGCAACCATCGCTTTCCCGATTGCCCTTTCGATGCGCACGCATTCCTTCATAAACGGCGCCGCGTATCAAATCAAAAGGTCGAATGTCAAAAGTACTGATTTTTCACTTCAAATTAATGGAAAAGCCTATTGATAGTGCGCAAAACAGTTTTAATCTTCTTTAATCACTTTTTTCTATACATTCTTTATAAATAAGAGATTTGAGCGGGGTACCGGAACAACAAACAAAGTGACATCTAGGACCTACACGCTGTACTTTTTTTCTTTAAATTTATTAATTAGGTAATTAAATTAAATGACTGTTGTATAACGACAACTTTAAAGCTAAGAAGTTCCACTCTTTTATAAAGAAAAAGTCTTTGAGTTGAGTTGTTGCAAGTTTAAAGAATATTAGAATAATGTTATTATTTTTACTTACAAGTTTTTATAATTAATTAATTATATAAATAATTAATCTTAACTATTGTATGAGTGGTGGTACTTTAGGGTACCAACCCTTGGGCCACCTCTCAGTCTCAGAAGAATATTTAACCGACTATATCCGCTTCAACAAATTGAAAAAAAAAGTTAGCAACGTTGCTGACTACGCTTTTTGTTATTTTCTTTGATTTTCAAGAATCGAACTTCAAAAATTAAAAAAAAAAACTACTATTTCCATATTTATGTTACAGGTCAAGACTGTTATATTTAAGTGAAATCTTTTCCTCAAATAAACTGCAATCTGCAATATACAGTCATAAATGCGCAGACTCTTATTGATTCCACTACCCTCATTTTATATTTTTAAAACATTTTAATTTATTAAAAATGTTAGGGAGTATTATATGTTACGTAACTAATTCATTTAATTAAATAAACTAAATGTAATAGTAAAAACATAAAAATATATGGCTAACTAGTTAATACAATTATTAATTTAAATACATACATTTTTTAAGGTTTGATAATTTCTTGTTCTATTTATTACTTTGGTAACGATATTTAATTGTAATTTTATTATTTTCAACATTGTAATTTGTATCTTAAACATTTAATATATAAAATAAAAAAAATTAATTAATGATTAATTGAATCCACAATGCGGGAGTGTGAGACAGTTGAGCGACATGCGCAAACAACACGATAAAAATGCGCATGCGTAAGGCTGCCATTTTTTTTTGTTTTTAAATCAAAAAGTTGTAAAAGTCAGCGAGAACGTGGTCGTGTGGTCGTTAGTTGTAGCAGTGGTGGCAATTTTGATCTCCATCTGATCTTTCTTTATTAAAAAGTTAACATCCAAAGCGAGAAAATTCTAGTAACGAGGTAGATTTCATTACGAGATATTTGAAAGAAGGTTTTAGTCGTAATTTGAAAATTATAGGTGCAACATGAGTGCACGAAATATCTTCGTTGGTTTTCCCGACGGCGACGTTCCCAAATCACATACACCCCAAAAAGGACGTGCCCATATAGACATATTTTCATCTGTGCCACCGACCATTACGCCGAAAAAAGTGAATGCTTCCAAGTCCAGTATTCAAGATATTTTAACGCAAGAAACTGATAAAGTGGAAACCAATGGTAATCCGCAGCCAAAAGAGGATAAGACTGAGAATAATAATACAACGGCGAAAGCTACATTTCCAACCCGAGTTCGTATGCCTCCAGGTGGACATTCGTGTGGTGGATTTTGGTGATTTTTAATGATCTACGGGCCTTACTTTGTAAGTACAAATTCGCTAAGTATCAGTTTCTTAAATAAAGCAGCAGCACCATTAGTTTACACTTGTTATGAGTTTCTTTCCTTTAAAGTTTAAAGAAAAAAACTGCAGCCAATCCGCAGCATTGTGCTTCAAAACGCGAATTTGTACTTACTTACAAAAATATGACATTTAGACATATGGCCCGTGGGATTATTATAAAATCAATTTTTCAAAAAAAAAATTATTTGTAATTTTTTATAAATAAAAGTCATTTTTGCTTAATAATGTTTATTGATTTCAAATTCAATGGAGTCAAAATACAGATTCAAATGGTCTACAATGAATATACTTCATTTTTAACTGGAAAAACTATGAAGAGTAAAATTTCACATTAAATGATATTGAAAGTTAGAAAACTCAAAAAATAGTCAATCGAACATTAGTATAAAATAAAAAAATACAACGTGACGTTCCATAAGTCTCCTGGAATACTGAAATCAATCTACAACAAATGAAACAACCAGCAGATCAGAATTGTATTTTTTCTGAAGAATAGCAACAGCATGAGTCATAGATAATATAAAAACAAATAGATAAGTACCTAACATTAAATAAAAATTTATTTAAATCAATTCTGAACTACTGTGTTACCAAATTCGTTTTTTGCCCTTGAAAACGAAATTGGATAGCAATGGTTTTACAAACAGTGCAAGCAATAACCAGAATTACACAGATACATGAAATCATTTCATATAACATCATATGTTAATGAAATCACATAAAACAAAACAATAATTCTTAGTTATTAATATGCATACTTGACATGGCCACATGGAACTCCCTATTAATACATGTCTGTATCAATGAAAATCAAATATTAAATATGAGATTTTTGTAATTTGATAATTTAACAGTCTAGTCTTAAAATTTTTCATTGATGCAGGCTATGCTAGAGTTCACAGTTAAAGTTTACTTCTTAACTCCGTTTTGGATCCCAACCTTGGAAGACCCTTGAGAAGTGGTACTGCAACAATAAATTCCTCATTAACATTTATTGCGAGGTTATTGTAAAATGAATCATGTTCACTTTCCTTTCGCCCACTGAATCCCACTTACATTTCGTTACCACCTTCCTTGTTGGGGCCAACAATGTCCAAACCCAGCTCTGACAAAACTTTTAGTGCTTCTAATGCAGCTTTTTCATGAGAAGCCTCAGTTGTGGGACCTTCTCCATGACAAACCTGTGGAGGATTGGTGCTTAGAGACACCAGAGTTAAATACATCTCATGATTAGCTTTAGGAAAATCAGAGAACTGAACTTGGATGTTCATCAGTTGTGCCAAGTACATCAACTGATCCTTAGAACGAACACCTTGAATCGGCTGAGGAGGAGTTTTCATCTGAGTTTGGCTCGTCTTCTTATTATCAACGCAAGAATTCGAGTTATTATTCATTACATTTTCCTTTGGCTTATTCTGAAAATGAACATTTACCACCTTGAATTATAAAACAAACACCAAAATTACTTGTTGGAAATTGGTAGTTTGGTCTCCCACCAACAATATTCCAGGAACTAATTGTCTACCACCACTTCCACCAACAGACGGGGTTGATTCAGTTTTTTCTTCAACGAACGTTACTTTTCGGGTTTTATCTCCAATTTCCGTTTCTTTTTCAGTTTTCAAAACTGGTTTAGGATTAGAAGGTGGATTACCGTAACCCAATTGATTTAATAGAGCCTCGGCAGCATTACGTTTTGCAATTTTTTTATTAGGACCTACGCCTGTACAAGAATGACCGTTCACAGAGGCCTCGATTACGAATTCGCGGCGACGGGGTGCTCCACGCTCTTCCAAAACCTAATTAAATAAAAATATCGCATTAACAATTTTTTTTTAATATTATATTTTCTTAATATTTCGAAAAGCAATTTATCAATTTTATAAAAATGAGAGTAAAAAAAGCATAGTTGTATTTTATTAACAACGAGACCTCAAATACAAATCTTAAACAGTAGGAAAGTTACATATGAGTTTTGATTAGTATTTTAAATATACTGTCGGTATAGTATATACTCACCGTATAGACCGGTTCTCTCTCTTTATTGGCTTGTTGTATTTGGATTAAGCGCGAAATGGGATTAATTTCTTCGGTGAATTCGCTCGACTTGTCCATATTGACTTTAATTAAGTTTCTGGTTTTCTTCTTATTAGTGACTCTCTTCCTTTTCAGATGTACCATATTGTGCATGTTGGGCAATGGTGGCAATTTGGCCAATTCTTCTAACATTTTTTCAGCTGCACGTTTTTTCGATATTTTCTTTCCGTTTCCTTCGCCTTCTGCAACAAAGTTGCCAACCCGACACTGCGTTACAAATACCTTCATATGTGGTGGTCCTTTTTCGCTCAACACTTCAAATGTGACACTAAGATTTCGTTTCAAAGCAATTTCGTGAACAAGAGAAATTGGCGATTTCAATTCCGTATTGATATCATTTGATCCTGTAGTTTCAATAGCTATTAAAAAGTATGTTGGCGTTACGTGTGACTGATTTAGAGGTACTTACGAGCTTCGACAGTACCTGATTGATCAGTACAATCTCCCATTTGTTTTATATCTTCGATGGCTTTAGCAGCTGCATCGTGACGTGCTGCTTGGACAGTGTATCCAACACCGGGATACTCCCGATCCCCGACTCTTAATCGCACAGTATAAGGATCGCCGGGATTGTGTGGACCTGTAGGTCTGTATTGGCCGTAATATCGATTTTCGTGATAAGGATAATGAGGACGCATATTTCGACGCGTGTCGTAGCCGTATCTTGGCTGATTTTGAGTGCCGTAGATGTTCTGACGAGGATAATACCCAGCCTGATTGATGTAGCCCTAATAATAAAAATATATGTTATTTACTAGAACCGTTTTTGTTTTTTTTTTTTTTTTTTTAATTTGAGTAATTCCATGCCAAAACGATCACTTTTAAAACTCATTGTTTCTGATTTTCTGAACGTGTAAAAATAAGTGACACGTATTCCACCGTTTTTTATTTTTTCAATGTATGTTGAAAAAACAGGGATGTACAGGGTGCTGCATTTTGGATGTCCGAATAGGGAATCTCCGAAACTAAGAGGTTTAGCCAAAAACGAGTAACACATTCTGGGGCTCATTTTTTGAGAAAATAATATTGGTTAAAACCGCATCCCGCTATCGTCTTTTGTTTTCGACTTATAGACAAAAATTGGCATTTTAGCGAAATCTAAAAAAATTCATATCTTCGTTATTATAGAAGACACAAATTTGAAATAAAGACATTATACAGGCACTTTTTTACGTAGAATTTAATAATGTAGTTAACAATTTTTTTCAGTTGTTTGTTTAGCCGTAATAAAATAAACTTGTATTTTTTTATATGGGAATCATAGATGGCTATGTCATTTTTAAAAAGCTTGTTTTTTTCTTATCAAAAAAATATATATTTGTAACAAATTATTATAATACATTTTTAGCAAAAAATTATCTTTGATTTTTGTTCGCAGTTGGCCATGAAAAAATGTTGCATCTTCAACTAAAAGGATTTAAACTATATTATATTCAAGCAGTGTCACTAATGAAAGAGTTTTCTAAGTATTAAGTGATGAAAAAGATGCAAAATAAATTGTAAATCAACTTATTGGCAACTAATAACATTTCTTTGTTTTTAAACAAGCTATCATTACCACTGCAACTTCTAGTGATCCATAGAGTGTTGTAAAAAAAAAGCCGTTTTAATTCTTCAATAAAATATATTTTACATATATGACCCAAAAATGACGATATGGCTATTCAAATACCCAAATTCCGTCTATGTGAAACGTTATCCTACCTCCATTAGATCATCAAAAATGTTTTTTCTAATTGTCTTGACTGTTGACACATTTGTTTTTCCTATTTTTTGATTTTTTAAAAATATGTAATAATTTTGTTCTGAGGCGCTCGGATACTTATTCAATGCTTCTACCGTATCGTATTTTTTAAATCTTTATAATTTTATCTATTTTTTCATCTATTTTACAGTTCACAAAACTCTTATTGATTATTATTTACGCATTTGGAGTGAAATAGTTTTTCCATGGCCAACTATTATCACACAAAATATGTATTTCACTTTTTAAGTATAGTTATAAAAAAATATTTTGTTACAAATATATATTTTTTAGATCAGAAAAAAATTTGCGTTTCAAAATTGCCATAGCCGCCTATGATTCCCATTTAAAAAAATACAAATTTATCTTATTACGGCTAAACCAATAACTGTATAATGTCTTTATTTCAAATCCGTATCTTCTATAATAACGAAGATATGAATTTTTTTACTTTTGCCTATAAGTCGAAAACAAAAGACGATAGCGCGATGCGGTTTTAACCAATATTATTTTCTCAAAAAATGAGCCCCAGAATGTATCACTCGTTTTTGGCTAAACCTCTTAGTTTCGGAGATTCCCTATTCGGACATCCAAAATGCAGCACCCTGTACAAAATTAAATAAATTTTTATCTAAAGAGCAAATCAACATTTTTTTAAATAATAGATTTAAGTAGGTACACTACGGACGTGATAATACATGTCTTCTAAAAATTTGTTATTAATAAAAAATTAAAAATATTGTTTAAACGAAAAAATAAACAATTACGCAGGTTTTTAAAATTCTCAAAAAATTTATGTAAAAACTTTCATATTTTTACTATGTCTTTACACAACTTTCAAGACGGACTTTTTAAAAATGGCTAAAAAAAATTATTTGAGATCGCTGCATAGTACAAGATCCCCTAAGATCGTCTGAAAGTAGCGTTTCCTTGGAAATTAAATAGAAAAATTACCATCTGTTGTATAAAAAACACATAATTTCCAATAACTTATTAACATTTATTTTTCAAAAAATATCAATAATAAATACAAATTCCTCGGTTGACGAAGAGTACTCTCTATATTTTTTTTTATTCTATTTTCTGATATTAAAATATGTAGATTTCGCGTACCGTTTATGAGCTTCGCTTGACTAAAATGATCATTTAAAAAATCGCAGTCTTTCAACTTGTCAATTAGATTATACAGGATGTGTCAAAAGTCCCGGACCAACGTAACATGTCATGTAAAGTAAGATACCAGGAGCATGGAAAAAATGTAAAAAAATCTATATATAAAAATTTCGAAGTTTGAGAGTTTAAATTGCATTTTGACTCTATTTGTTTCTGTTGGAAACATAATTTTACATGTTTTTTTTTGCTACAAGCTATTAGAAGAGGAAACAAGGAAGCTGTATCCTAAATTGTAACTCTGTCTAATTTTATTTGTGGCTTTTATTGGCAAAATTATCGTACTTTTATTAAATAATTATAAAAAAAAAACATATACAAGGTCATCAATATCATTAAATAGACATAAAAAAATGTCAATTTTCAAAAAATAAATGTAAACATTTTTTGACAGATTTTTGGTATCTGGTATCTTACCTTACATGGCATGTCAGGTTGGTCCGGGAATTTTGACACACCCTGTATAGCCAAACGTAATATGTGAAATATTTACTCAATCGAAGAATTTGTTTTTTATTGATATTTTTTGACAAATAAATGTTAATAAATTATTGAAAATTATGTGTTTTCTTTAGAACGATTTATTAGTGACGGTAATTGGTAATTTTTCTATTTAATTTCCAAGGAAACGCTAATATGCAGCGCTCTCAAAAAAAATTTTTTTCAGCCACTTTTAACGTCGGTCTTGAAACTTATGTTACATAGTAAAAATGTGAGTTTTTACATAATTTTTTTGATAATTTTAAAATCCTGCGTAATTGTTTATTTTTTTGTTTAAACAATATATTTTTAAATTATTTGTTAAAAACAAATTTTTAGAATACATGTATTATCACGTCCGTAATGTACCTATTTATATTTATTATTTAGAAAAAACTTCGTTTCAATATGTTGATTTGTTCTTTAGATAAAAAATCTTTTTGTTCCGAGGTACTTAATTTTGTACATCCTGCTTTTTCAACATACATTGAAAAAATAAAAAACGGTGAAATACGTGTCACTTATTTTTACACGTTCTATAACATATCTCAAATTTACGAAAATCAGAAACAATAAAAAGTGATCGTTTTGGCATGGAACTACTCATTTAATACAGTAGACTCCCGATTTACCGAAATGCCGGTTTATCCGAAACGAACGGAAATTTTGGATCCGCCATTTTAACCGAAACACGTGCAGTTTTTGAAGTTAATAAAAATTTGGATTTTGTCAGAATTAACTTCTGAACTCTAAGAGAAATTTGCATTATTTTATCTAAAACAACAGCCTGAGGCCACAGCAAGTGACATTTTACTGTTAACACGGTGGAGGAACATTGCGTCCAATAACTGAATGCATTTAAAATTTTAATACAATATTTGTTCAATATGTGTATGTTTTTTTTTCTACAAAAAAACTCCGTATTAATACCTGATGTGGCGGTGGATTTTCGACAATGTAAACCGGCCGTTCGCCACGTTTCATGGCTAGAGCATTCAATTCGACTGTAGGAGTCATCACACCGGGATTTGTAGCTCTGGTTCCGGGTCGATTTCTGGCTGTTTTGGAAGGCGGATGTTTAAATTCAGTTTTAGCAAGTGATTGTGCAGCTGCAGAATGTTGGGCTTTTTTAATACTCGGACCTTCTGATTTATATTCTTCGTTGCCCAATTTTAACGTGACTGTAAATACTTTTTTATGTGCTGGTCCACTTTCCTCTGTCAGCTGATACTGGTGTTGTATTTTATTGTACCTTGCCAATTCATTGACCAAGCACATTGGTGTTTTTTCTTTTATGTTTGCCAAAGTAGTATTGGGCGGTGCAGACGAAGTACTAGTGTTCGGACCTGTTTGGTGCTGTTGTGTGTCGGTATGTTGAGCCTGTGCGGTTTCTGACGATGCTGTATTTTCGTAGTGATATACTGAAAATACAACATTGCACAAACAACAGGTATTTATAAATCAATATGCAAACAACCAACACTAACTTAGCAATGCAGGACCCCGAATACGTTTTGGCCAAAAAACACAGTGAGAAGCAAAGAAATCAATTAAACTCACCTTGCTGAACATTGTTTTTGGGTTGTGGCTGCTGGGGTATAGATGGGGTAGAGATGAGTGGAGGACCTGGAGGCATAGAAACCAGAACTCCTAAAAGCACTCTTTTCAATTACGGAAAAATGGGTGAAATTTGGTAAAATACCTGCATGGGCAGCAGTCACCGGTGGCTGAATGCTCATAAGCATTGGTTGGCTCCTATGATTCGGTGGTGGTCCCATTTGTTGCATTCCCATTCTGGATGAGAAAAATGGATCAAACCTCAATGAAATGATAACGACACGAGTTCATACTATTTTCTAATTTACCTGGTATTCCTTTGCATTCCGTTTTGTGACATGTGATGATGTTCTTGAAGCATTATATTGAAAATAAATCGGATTTATTTGTTGATTTGAAAGGGAGGAGTTGATTCAGAGACCGGTAATGACGTATTAGTGTTAATTTCTTCTTGCTTAGCGATGAATAATAACATATGAGCATTTATGGAATGCCTAAACTTTATATTTAGTTCAATTCGCTAACCAAACACCACTACTAAATCTTTTTTAATACGTTGGCAAACAATAAAGAAAACAGCAACTAACATGCGGCCATGTTAGAACAATCGCGGTAGAGCTCAAGAAATTGTAAAAGGCCCACGGTGGAAGGGATGCGCAGAGACGAAAACTGCTCGCGGACGAGTCCATTCGTAAATATAGGGGTGGTCTAAAATCAGCTGACGTAATGGCGGGATAAATAGTATTTTTCTAATTTGCGTTTATAATACGTTTATTAACGTCTCTATTTAATACTTTAATGAATTTAGGGTTATTTAGTTTTTGTATGCCGCTTTTGACTTGTCAGGTAACAAATTTTGCGTTGTTGCTTCGGCAATTTCGCAAATTTCGGGCGGAGTGCAAACTAAATTCTGTTGGTTCATATTTTATTTATTATTATTATGTTGTATCAATAATAACTAGTAATTTGTAAATTTTATTTTTAATGACAGACGGCAGAAATGATTCAAAAAATCAGGTGGGCGCCGAGTGTCACCAACCGATACCAACTAACACAAAATTCTCTAGACGACAAAAATATATTTTTTTAATTAAAATGAAAAAAGGGGGCGCAAATTAGAAAAAATAGCATAAAATACTCGTTTTATAATGGCATTGGCGCACTCATATCATAGCTTGGAATTCGTGCGCCAAATCAGCTCTTATTATAAAACTTGTTCTTTAATATACTATATCATAATATAGGGCCATTTGCATGTCATTACTGACCGACTGAGAGGGTGTCATAAATAAAAAATCTGCCTGTTGTAAAATGTTTATTTGAAATTACATCCCATTATAAAAAATCATATAAAACTATTTTTTAGTGGCTGTTGCTTCATCCTCGCGCTGATAATTTTGCAAAACTTCCAACTTTTTCGCAGCAATACGTTCTTCCCTTCGTTTTCTGGCTTCCTTGACTTTTAGTCGTCGCGCGTCAGCTTGGTCGTTCAGCATTTTCGCCCTAGCTTTCTCAGCTTTTTTCTTATGGATGTATTCCATGAGGACCCGTTTATTTTTGAAAACATTACCTTTAGCCTTCATGTACAAAGCATGGTATAAATGTCTGTCAATTTTTTTAGCTTCTCTATACTTTTTCAACAGTCGTCTCAAAACACGCATACGTTGTACCCAAAGTTCCTGTAAGCTGAATCATAAAAGAACAGTTCCATGATTTTGAAAATTAACAAACTTTTTGAGGCATACGCGCGTTGGCAGTGCCCTTTCTTTTCCCAAAACCACAGTGTCTGCCTTTTCTTCTGGCTTCAGTGTTTTTTCGCACGCGGGCGCGGGAGTGTACAGCAACAGGTTTTTTGATAATAAGACCATCTTTAATGAGTTTGCGGATATTTTGTCCTGCAACCTCAAGTTAATTTTTGAACCATTTCATTCTGAACTTACTTGAATTGGTGTTGGCAATTTCGTTAATTTCATTAGGGTCCAGCCAAACTTTTTTCTTGCCACATCGCATAACAGACGCCGCAAGGCGTTTCTGGAGTCTTAAAGAACTGAAAAAAGTAAGGTTATGTGAGTTTATTATAATTATTTTTCAAACGGGAAAATTAAAATTGCAAACTTTAGTAAAACTAACAGAAAAATGAATTGTTTTAAGGGTTCAATTATTAATTTTGCATAATTTTTGATAAATACCTCATTTTTACAACTTCATACACGTGTCAACTGTCAAAACTAATAAAAAAACAAAAGATGATCACAAAATACATGCGCGCACTGATTTTGATATTTGCTTGTTTTCAAAATAAAGCGCATTTTTCTTTTTTTTATTTCTATTTTTATAAAAGATTACACAAACAGTTTGGTATTTAATAAAATATAATATGAATAGAAGAAATATTGGGAATGCATTTAAGTTTAGTTAATTGCACTAATAGGCGTGTACGTAGTTATTTATGTATTGCACTTTAGGCATAAAATTATCATGCCTGGAAAAATATCCTAGCACTACTGAAACTATAATAAAGTAAACGAAATTCCTGAAAAAAAAAAAATTCAAATATTGTAAAAAAAATCGAATGACGTACCCGTTGAAAAGCATTAATTCTTTTCTCCGAAAGTTGCAAGGTTTGTTGCAATTTATCGTCTTGTTTACTCGCAACGGCTTTTTGTTCTTCAATTTTCTTTTTATCAAGTTCAAACTTGGCTTGAACTGAGTTAAACCAGTGCAGTGAATTTAATTGACTTTCTTGTCCCAAAAGTTCAATAATATAAGCAAGTCCGATAACAAATCCATCGTCGGTGAATGCGGCATCATTTTTATTTTTCTTGTTCAATCGCTCTTTGCAAGTCAATGAATGTTCAACAAAATTTATTGTCAGTGGTGGTACAATGATGTAAAAATTTTTCAAGTGTATATTACTCGGGTTTCGGAAAACTGGTATAAAAACCTTAACAAGTAGCTTAAAATACTCGGTTGCTTCTTCAAAATTTTCAACAAGTGTTTTTATATCGCTCATTAAACAGTTTGCGGCTTTTTTCGTCAATTCAGACGCTGCTTCCTGGGTTATAAGCTCGTTTAATTGGTCGATCTCTTTTAAATTTGGGATAAAACAAGTGCTATCGGCGAGAAAACGACGCCCACCTGAGCGGATCAATCGGACGTAACCCATGGCATTACCGATTTGTGTGATTAGTTTTCGGAACAAATCTAAATAACTTAAACCATTTTGATTCAATCCTAAATTTCTAATACCGATGTTGAATTTATCCGCCCGCTCATACGGGTACATTTGACTCAGTTCTAACTTATGTTCGGAAAAAAATCTCATATCCTTTAATAAACGAGATTTTATGTGCTCATCAAACATAAATTGCGAAAAAATATAAAACTTTTTTTGCAAAAACTGATACGTAAAATTTACAGTAGTGTTCATTATACCTAGGGAGAAATTGCTAATTTTTAAAGAACATATTTAACAAACTTTTTACCTATTCCGTGAGTTCGAATAGAGTTGGCCACATGCGAAATATTAATGGTGTTTAAATGCTTATTATTGCTTGATTCTTCAACGAATACTTGATTGTTTAAATTGTACAAATATTTTCCGACAAAAACATTTATATTTCTCATTATTTCTAAAACATCTAAACCTTGTTCAAGTGTTTGCATTGGAAGATTGTCCTCGACTGTTTCCAACCCATACTGAAGACGTGCGAGTCTAAAAACGTGTAATGACCTAAAATCAGCATGAAATTATTTTTTACCTTCTCATCTCGCCGTAAGTTTTCCAATCATGCAAAACCACCGTTGTTAAATTATAAAACATCGTACTCAAATAATGTTCAGTTTCTTTTTTAATACTTATGTAATACTTGTCCATTCTAGCTGGGTTAAATTTAGCGAAATTCAATGGTAAGGTGTTTTTGAATGGATCTGAGGGAGGCAGTTGTAAATGGAGATGTGTTTGAAGGCGTAAATTAGTTTCAACAATTTGATTCAAAGGTCCGAATAGGTTTTGTTTAAGACAAGTGTCAGTCGATCCGGATATTTTATCTCCGGCAATAAGAGCACAATCACTTAAAGCACTGAGTATTAACTAAAAATATGGATTAATTGGTTAATGTTAAAAACAGTTTCTCTACTTACATAATATCTAGATAAGTCAGCTTTGGTTTCAATTAGTTTTGAAAAATACACAGGCAACATATAAATTTGGTGCCAATATAAAAACGAGCAATCACATAGTCGATTTAATATAGAATGTACACAACAAATTAATTCTAAACGGTTTATCACAGACCTTATCTCGGTTAAATGATCGTAGGATAATCCACTAGCTGACAGAGACAATTTTGCTATTAAAATTCGTTGGTTTGTGTTAGGTCCTAACAATAACAAAATGAAATACTATTAATATTATATGAACCTCTCATACCCTTTAAATTTTGCTCGCAAACATTTAAAGCAGATAAAACATCCAACTGTTGCTCTTTATATGATTTTTCTTGAGTTAAGCTCTTCTACAAACAAAAAAAAAACAATAAAGAGACTTTTATAAAAAAAAAACACTTACACGTATATTGCGCAACAATGTCAAAGCTTTATGTGACAAATGTTGCGAAATTAATGAAATTATATAAACAAGCGATAATAATTTCTTGTGAAAAATAAATTGAAAACATTTCAAAATTTCAACAAGACGACAAAGAGACAAAAGTACGGATTTGGCCATAGGCCGGTCTTTATCTGCATGCAAATTTGTTATCCATTTGACCACTTCACTAATTTTCTTAATTAGTTTTATCCCGTCTATTAACAAATTGGAGGTTTCGTGTAGATGTTTGACATCAAAACTTGTTAAATTTCTTTGGGTAATTCTATCCACCTCAATCATCCAATGGCAAGCCTACAAAATGAGTCCTCAGTTTGGGCATGCGCACAGCGTGACTTACCTGAAGTGATAGAAGATGAGTTTCTTTGGGTAAATTTTGACTTCGTAATGCAATTTTCGTAAGCCTAATATTTTCAAATGTTTTTATATCAAGAAATTTGCTTAAAGACGGTACATGTTTTAATAAAAATTCTTCAGGGTACCATAAAACATTTCCACATAGGGTGCAAGCCGACGCTTTTTTATTCACTTCTATTAGTCTCTTAACTATTTTTTTATCAGTTGATCCAAACAAACAATGTTCCAAAACAACAAGACAATTCACTTGCAACCAAACTTGCGTAAAAAATATATTTTCGTCGTCTCGTTCTAACTCGCTTAGTAACTGATTAATATAAGCTGAAATTTCATTTGAAAGACTGCTGTTTTTTATAACAAAAATAACTTTTTCATCAAGACATTTTTCTAGGGCAGTCTGAAATTGATTTGTTATTGATTTATTTATTTGTAAAATGAAATAAACCTTAAATATATTTCCTGTTAAAAGTGTGTTATCAATACTCGCTAAATTTTTATCAAGCGACCTAACTTGTTCACGAGTTAGCTGAAACTTAGTTGGATTGTGTAAAATTCCTTTAATAAATCTCCAGTATAACAACCAATGATCCTTTAGTGACGTTTGATTTGAAAATAAACTGTCAAAAGTCAACAAACAAACCAACAACTCTGCTAAACAATCTAACAACTCCTAAAAAAACCCATTTATGTACATATTGTTTTTACTTGAGACAATTACAGGAAAGCATGTGCCAGATCGAATTGTATTATATTCCTTTCCCAAAATGGCACAAAGTTGTTGAAATAATAAACCAATAACGTAATAACAACGTTCAATAAAGCAACAAACTTTTTGCAAAACTTCAACAACTGAAGAAATTGATTGTAGGTCTTCTTTTGTACTATTTTTTCCTACAAATATGTGCAGTTAGCATTAATTCCGCGAGGTGATGGAAAAAACTTAAATAACATAAACTGCGTAATTTCATTTTTTTCCACCTTGTGGAACATTTTTGATAGGAAATAATTCAATTAAAATTTGTAATACATAATCGCACCTTCTCCATAAAAAACAAAAACTGGATAATAACTTCTGGCTTCCTCTACTAGTGTGTTAATTTCTTCACAAACAGCAGCCAGACTAGCCAAAATTCGACTCAAAAGCTTATTATCTGAGTGTACTAAATGCAATAGAGATACATTTTCAGTTCTAGAGCTCTAAAATGAGACAGAATTGAAAAAAAGGCCCTCTTTTTTTACCATTTGAACCTCAAGTAAAATCGGCTCTAATCGCACGTTGAATCTATTTGGAAGCTTCTGTTTAAAATTATTTAAATCGGTACTGTACTTATCTAAAAAATTGCCATATTGAAGCAGCTGTACTTCACCAATTAATCCTAAAAAATAATTTAATAAAATCTTGCAAAAAGTTAGGTTAGTTTACTTACTATTGGTTTCAGCGTTTAATTTTTTCTCCGCTACATTTCGAGATTCAAGCATTTTATTGGCGTTTTAAGCGTACACAGTTTTATTACGGTAATACAACATTATTTTAAAAACGTTTAAAAAGAAAACAATTTCAATACTATAACCAACTTAAAGTGGATTTTGACAGGAAGCGTCAGTGGCGTAGGTAAAAATATAAACCTCATATTAAGATAGATAAAATATTTATTTGTGATAAAAATAGTCCAATTATAAAACATCAAACTAAATTTTGAATCATATCAAAGTAATTATTGTGCAACAACTAATCTACAAGATGCTTGTTGTAAAAAATGTTCCATTAATTAGATAGGTATTGAATAATTAATTAATATTTATTAATATGTTTTATTTATTCCATATGGAAACGTTTTTCCTTATGTTATGTTTTTGTCGTCGTTTTCTTTTTCTTGTGCCTTATTAATGTCACCATAAAGACGTTTCAGTATCATCATTTTTTGTCTTTGTCGTCTTCTCCTCCTTCTTCTTCTTCTTCTACGGCGCTTTTCACGACGAGCTTCTCTTTTTGCCAATTCTGTTTGATACTGTTCTTGCTCATTTTTCATATCTATAATTGATTAATCAATAAATTAATTAACGTAAAAGGCATTGTGGATAAATGAATCTGATTGGGTGTTTAAAAAAATGTTTTGTATGTACTTTTCCCTATTATTATATATTGCCAAACGTTTCAGTCAATTTTAATTTATTATTTATTTAATCCATTATTTAATGCCCATACAGTTTATTTAAAATAGTAGGTATCTATGAAATAAATAAAATCTTCAATTATACAAAATTAAAGGCAAGACATAAAAATAGAAACAGAAAAAAACACTGGATATGAAATTAACGTAGTGGGTTATTTATTCCACTGACAATAAATTCGGAGATGATAACATATGTTTTAAATCGAGGAACAAAGAAATGATCGGTTTGGTTAAATTATGAGGAAATATTTTAAGGAATAAACAGAACTGTTGTATTTCAATGATTTTAAACCCACGTCGTAATAATGTTTTAACCGAAAAACAAATAAAATTCAAAGACAGCTGTACAGAAATGTCTTATTTTAAATAAAAGCCAAAAATATTTTCAGGCGTTTATTATTTTTGAAAGTAAAATCGTTTAATAATAAATAATTTTTTATATAGATAAATAAATACCTATTTCTAAAGTAGACACTTTTTGATGTTTATGTAAAAATAAATAAAAACTTACCTGCAGAAGACACTTTCAATGTGAAAAACTACTTATATCAATTGTTATGAAATGTGTACTAATGAATTCAATTCCTTTAAGCTCGTTATCATACTTGAAGACATAATTCGTAATCATCAGGTATTTGCAACACATAAAAAACATGATATTTGATTACAACTTCCAGAAAATTTTATTAATAACATATTTACTTTCCTATGAGATTCGATGTGTGTATTATTGAAATATTTTGTATGTAGTGTGGGTGTAAAAATTCCTACTAGAAAAATATAAAAGTTTGTGCGATGCAACCTTAAAAAATTTTTGTTTTTGAGATATTAACATAATAAACATTTTATAAAATGTTATGATCTACACCAATGTTGCGAGTATATAAATATTACTCCCACCAGACCGGATTAAACTAAACTCTCCAAAAATAATCCAGGGATGCTTACAAGTCTCACGGGTTTAACGCGCATTTGTAATTGGTAAAAAAAGCAGCCAAAACACGACCAGATTTCCGACTGATCGATTCGTTAAAGAGGCAATTAAAGGATGTTAATTACAATCGTGAACCACCTACACGGAATTGAAACATCAATTTAGTCCAAACAATGTCTAAATGCGTTTTTGATTTAAACATTTTCGGTGAAGCTATAAAAATATTTAAAAGGATCGAAAACAATTCGTCATTTGTTTTTGGTTTTATTGTTTATGTGGTGCTATTTTTAATCCGTAGAAGACCAGCAGTGACTTTTATATGATTCGGGAAGTAAACTAATACTCTTAATTTATTATGAGAAATGGAATGCAGTTTCATCGCACCTGCTTTAATACTTTAATTTATTATTAACAGGAGGAATTGACGAAAATACATTATTAATAATTAGTTTGCCAAACTCAAATTGATTTGGCCCAATTTCGGGATGTTTTCGACCGAATTGGCACAATGTATGGTAGTATTGATTTTCAGCGGGACCTACTTTTGTTACGTCACTGAAACTGTCGCATGTAATCGCCTCCGGAGTCTGGATTCTGTGTTCCGGATCAGACGATGAGATGACTCATTTCTGCCGGCTAAATGAAACTCCCTATAGATTGTGGAAAATTTATTTGTTTATTAAACTATATAATCGAAACAAAACGATCATTTTTAAAAGAATGGTGAAGACAAAACAATGTGAAAGACAAATTCGTTAAATTCTAGATATAGGTACCTATAGGTAGCTTAAAATTTTACAATATAGCTACTATCTCTCTTCTTTTTATATAGTTAACTAATTATTTATTTTAACACGTAACGTGTTTTTCCCTAATTAGTAAGACTGTAAAACGATTTATGCAATTACTATAATTAAGTAGGTATTAGGTATGTAGTTACATGGTGTTAACTCCAGTTCCAAGATGGCGGCTAAGACTCGTACTAAGGAGCTCAAAATAAAAAATCAAACGCCAAAGGAATGTATTAGTAATAAACAAAAAATGTATAAACAAACGCGAGTCCGTTTAATCGAAATTGAAGAACTGAAGAACAACCCCCTATACCTATCTTACAATAGGTACACCATAAAGTCTATGAAACGAGTGTAGAATAAGTCGGTTTATTGTGTAAGTACGTACATTTAGATCAATTGTCAGTTTATTTATCATCTATATCACAATTTACACTACACATGTCAACACAATAGAATCGATGTTTGGAAAACGAAGAAACCGGAATCGCGACCGAGACGTAACCATCACAAGGCGGTAGATTGATATGTTCCGGCCCGGCCGTCGTGTTTAAAATGACGCTTCCACAAGATAAGTGCCGTCCATACCGCCGCCTGTTTGATTCGACTGAGCCGCCGACGCTGCTGGCATATATTTTCCGCAGGCTTGTTGGTACCTGCGAGGGCAACATCGGCCACAGCAGGACTGAATTAAGCCGATTGAAACGGCCGAATGTGCTGGACTTGCCATAGGGGATGGCGAACCGGGCCTTTTAGGGTGGCCATTGTACGGCACCTCGAGTTCGACGAATTCCCGATCGGTGGTTTTCTCCAAACAACGCAGCAAATGGTGGTGTTGCAACTCGAAAATGTCTTCTTCGCGGTAGTTGTCACCGTCGAGTTCGATGCCTGATTCTTGAGCGGCGATTCGAGCCTCCGCTGCTTTTTTCTTGCTGACAAAAGCCGCCCCTGACGATGCTTTGGCAATACGAATACGAGCCAAACGAGCTTTCTGCAGGAGAGAAAATATTACAAGAAGAAATTAAATAAACGGGTGGAAGTCGTTAGGAGTTTACTTACTCTTTGAGCTTTGCGTTTGTCCGCTCTTTGGTTCTGGTGGTAAATCCTGCTGAAATTAGAAACGATAACAGGTACGGGTAATGCAATTACAAGGACACCACTCAGGGAACAGACGCCGCCAACAATTTTTCCTGCTATAGTCGCCGGAACCATATCGCCGTATCTGAAAAATATGATGATTAATGAGTTTTAGAGATGAGGTTTGGGGGTTGGGGATTACCCTAGTGTAGTCATCGTGACGATGGTATACCAGAAGGCGGCAGGGATGGAAGTGAAATTTGTTTTACCGACGTTCTTTTCGGCATAGAACATCACGGTAGCAAAGATGATAATAGCCATAGCTAGTGAAAATACAAGAAAACCAAGTTCGGAAGCACACGATTTGAGAGTGTAACCTAAGATACGAAGACCTTGGGAATGACGTGAGAATTTAAAAATTCGGAAAACCCGGAAGACTCTCAAAGTAACAAAAGCACCGGAAACATCATCGTTGTCGGTGATGCCCAGACCGATATAATAAGGTAGAATGGCTACAACATCGATAATGCTCATAACGGAGCGAACAAATTTATATCGGTTTGGGGCTGCAAACATTCTTAATAAATATTCAGCTGTGAAAATCATAACACAAGCAGTATCTAAACAGAAAAATACAATTTTGTATCTTTCACCGCACGGTAAGGAGCCAGCTCCTCCCGGTCTGCTTCCACAAGGAACCGTCTCTACTACATTTGCCATCACAGAAACAGCAATAAAGAATCCTGTAACGTAATAGAATACTAAAGCCGCTGTTGAAGTGTGTGGATTTTCAAAAGCCCGCCACATTTTCTGCCGTATGTTGGTCAATTGTTGTAAATTTTGGTCACCGTTTTCGGAAAGTTTATCATCCATGAGTCTTTCAGCGTTTTCACGTTTGCGATCTCTGTAATCCTCATAGCAACAATCCCCGATAACGTCCGGTAAAATCCCGAAGAAAGCCAATTCTTCATCGTAGCTAGTGAGGCACTCGTGCTTCGGATAGTGCAGTTTTCCAGTGCGGTAATAGTTGAGAATGTGTCGGAAAATGTCCGGATCTCGATCAAAAAAGTACTCTTTACATTCTTCATCGTAAAAGAATTCGCGCTCGTTTGAGCCAAGAAGTGTGTCAGGGTATTTCTCTAGGGTGTTTCGCCACGTTTCAAACCGCCGTCCTGAAACGTTGATGAGGAGTTTCTCGTCATCGGCTTTGCGTCGATCCTTAGGAATCGGAGGCGGCGGGAGCGGGTGTGTGGCGATAGGCACCCAACCGATGGCCGCCGCCCGGGCAAATGGCAGCCAAGCGGCGACCGAGGCCATACTGTGCGGCGGAATGACTTTTATTGTGCGGTGCTCGCGGTGCTCGCGGTGCTCGCGGTGCTCGCGGTCTCACCGATCGCTCACTCGCGTTCCACTTCCTCGTCGCACTTCACCACCATTTCTTCTTCTTGACGGACGACGACGACGACGACGTCAAGATCAAACACCGATTTATTATTTTTATTATTATTCCTCCCGAACTCCTCCAAATACTTGAAACTGTTCATTGCTGACTCGTAACTCGGACTATTTCGGGCGCGAATACCTCCATCTTCTCTAGCACTGTTCACTGCAATCGGCGTCGATGTTACTGCGGCGGAGACGGCTGGGTTCAAGCGAACGACGCCGACGTCCACCGACAGATACAGCGCATGACTTCGACGTCGTCGTCGACGTCGACACCGACACCAACACCAACATTGCAATCGATCGATCCCGCAGGATGCCTTATCGCATGCTTTTCTAATTCTAACCAATCTACCCTTCACCGCAACTACACACTATGCCGACTAAAAAATTTTTTGGTGATTTTTGAAAGGTTTATCTCATCGAGAAATAGTCGTATCTAGATTTTTTTAAGGCTTTAAGTGTCTAGTTTTGAGATTTTTTGACAAATTTTTCTGTGCTACAGTTATCACGCAAGCGCAGGAAATAGCGCGAGAAAAAAATTGTAAATTGTTTTTGTTTTTGTTTTTGGTTCACGGACTTGGGGAATTTTTTTTAGTTAAATCAATGGATGTACCGGATAGCCTATTCATTCGGCTTTAATGTGCTTTATTTTATATTCTCTTAGGTCATTTTGTCGCTGAGATATCTGACTTTTAAGGAAAAAGGATCCTTTTGTAGAGTAGTTCCAAAAACTGAAATAAATGTCTTACAAAATCCTT